CTTAATCATCAGCCATGTCCCCAGGCAGGTCAGCTCTCCTTTAGGGCCAGGATGGAGCTGGGGGCAGACGCTGGCACATGAGCTGGGCAGCCCAGACTTGGCCAATCAACAAACAGAGTGCTGTACACTCAAGACCAAACATGGTCATTAAAACCTCTCTTGCTCTCCAGGAACGTGGGGCCTCCGTATTCCTTTTCCTGTCTCTATCCTTGTTGATGGTCTCTGGGCAGCCACGAGATGGCCAGTGTTTGGAGAAGGAGCCGAGCAGGGGCTGGGGTTTGCTTTTGGCACTGGGACGAAGGTGTCCCCACTTATGGGTGTGAACTGGACGCTGGGAGAGGCCTCCTCTAGGACTCTCAGGGAGGGGATTCTGGTCAAACCTTGAAGCTTGAGGCAGGAAGAAAGGCAAGATGACCCCTTGGGCCCTCTGCTCTCCAGGCCAGTGACGCCAGCAGGAGACACCCCCAGCCCATTACCTCAATGGAAACTGGCAGCTAACGAGGCCCCAGGAGGGGGCCCGGAGTGCATCAGTCACCCCCACGTTCTGCACCAGCCACCCTAGGGACCCTCCTTGTCTCAGTCGCAGGGAGGGGCACGTCGTTCACCCTGCCCTCCTCACCCCCTTGACTGGGGTGGAGGGCACAGGCAGGCAGGGATGAGCCTGGGCCTTGCACCCCTGGGCAGCTGGAAAGATCTTGTATCCTGGCATTACGCAGCGCCTCCTAAAGTTGCCAGTGATCAAAATGATCAAAGTGCACAACCTTGAGAATCAGCGTTTATAACAACGCGCAGGTGCTTCTGAAATCAGGACAGTGTGGGAATGGCTGCCTCTGAGCCTTAGTGCGGCTCCTGAGAAAATGTGTGTGGCTGTGTGTTTTTGTTTTTGCCAAGGAATGTCAGCGTGCCGCGGGGTTCCTGGGTCACATTAGACGTGCGTCGTGTTGCTTTGTCATAAATTCAAGCTGCAGGTGGCTCCTGACTCTTAAACTCCCTCATCCCAGGGTCTCTGTGAAATCTGCTGTCTCAAAGCCCTTAGCACCTCTGCTACATCAAGCGAGTTGGTGAAGTCTCCTGCCCAGCTACTGCCGCAACCTAAGACATCGCTGTAGGATGAGCTTTCCAGAGAGGGCCTGCCCCTGGTGCTGCGGGCTTGGCTAGGATCGCCTTAGTTCTTCCTGCCAACCAGAGGACACGGGGTCATTATGTGCTTATTCACGTAGTAAACAAATAATGCATTGACCGTGCACTTGGAGTCAGACCCTGTGCTGGGTGCTGGGGATCAGATGAATTAGATCAGGTGCTTGCCCGCACCAAGCTTAACCTTCTGGTAGAGCATAAACACCTAAACATAAATCACTACGTTCAGGTGGCAATATGTGCTAGGGCAAAAATAAGGCGAACACCATCGAGAGCCGGGAGGGGCCTCTGGCTTGGGTGGAAAGATCTCCAAAGAGGAGGCCAAGAGCAAGAGTTTGGGTTTCATGCTTAGAGACAGAGAGAGGGAGAGAGAGAGGATTTGCAGAAAGGTCACTGGCAGTTGTGTAGAGAACGTGCCGTGTGCAGCTGCACCACCCTGAATGCCCCTCTCCTCTGATCTAAGCAGGGTCAGGCCTGGTTAGGACCTGGGGCGGGGAGAGGAGAATGGAAGCAGGGAGTTCTGACGGGGGGAGGCTGTGGCTGAAATCCAAGTGAGAAACAGTGCAGCCCTGGCTGAGGGGGCCTCGGAAGACAGAGGCTGCGAGGTGTTCCCTGCCGCATTGTCCATCCCAAGAACAGTCTGCAGCTTCCACTGCCTCATCTTAGGGACGCCTTCTTCCTGGGCTCTCTACCCTTCTCCTTCCTGCTGGGATCTATTGTGTCTTAGGAGAGGGGCGAGAGTAGGCAGAGTCCGGGATCCCGGGAGGTACCCGGCTGTATGCCCACCTGGGGAGACCCGGACAAAAACTAGAACCCAGAGTCCGGATACCCAGGTTAGAGGCCATGACTGAGCTGCTTTGAATGAGTGGTCCTGACTAGACCCCAACTCAGCTCCACCCACCCGGGGCCCGGGGAGTGCTCCTGCCCTGGCTGCCCGCCGGTGGGGTGGGGTGCACGTCCTCGGCCTCTCCCTCTCCCACTGTCCTCCTCGCACCCCTGTTGGTCCTCCCTCTTTACTCCACTCCATTTCAGCAAAGTCACCTGGGCAGGGGTTGAAATGCAGATTCCTGGTCCCCTCCCTGCCGCACCCCCAAGATTCACAGTTTTCCCAGGTGATTCTAAGTCCGTGAGAACCCACTTGTTGCCCAGCCCAGCTATGACTCTGCCATGGGCACTTTCCGGGAGCTTTGTCCACAGCGCAGGGCGGGGCCGTCTCCTGAAACATGGCGGGAATAAAGACAGAGCACCCGGGGCCGGGGAATCTGCTCAGACAGGTTCCAGGGAGGCACAGGCTTCCCTCCAGGGTTTTAGCGGATCCCAGAGAAGGAGGCTGTGGATTCTCCCAGGCTGGTGCTGACCTGCAGGGCTGTGCTAATGGTATCTCCCAGTGGCTACACCCAGGGTCCCCTGCCCCATCTTCCCTTTATCTCTGGTTCCAGCAGGGTCCCATAAGGTCATGCCCGTCCGTTCCCCATCCCCCTCCAAATAACTGTGAGTAGAGGGACATGGGTGGAGGGAAGGGGGCCGGGTGTGTGTGTGGGGGGGGGGGGTAAGAGGTGGGGTGGGGGTGGGGGGAGGCAGAGGGCGAGTCCCAGAGATAGAAGATCACAGGAGACAGCTTGGTCTTCGCTAAAGGAAAGAGTGACGATCAGGGCTCCCCAGGCAGTAACAGAGAGGAAGGCCTTGGTTCAAATCTGGGGCTGGCCCTGTCCCAGCTGTGTGGCCTTGGGCAGACACTGTCTCTCTGATCCTCCATTTCCGTGTACCCGCAGTGAGGGGCTGGGGCCAGTTCTAATGTTCTAAGTTACTCTCATGCAACTGGTCAGGATGTCGCCCCCAAGGAGGTATTGGCATCTAGTGGGCAGAGGCTGGAGTGTTGCTAAAAACATCCTACAGTGCTCAAGACAGCTCCCCACGATCAAAAACAAACCAAAAAACACCACGACCTGGCCCGAGGACCCGTAGTGCCACTGTTAAGAAACCCGCTTTACGTTGCTCTCAGCTACCTGACATGAAATGAAACAGGATGCAGATAACCAAGTAGCAGATAACAGCGGTTGCCTGGTTGCGAGGCACTCACTCACCTGGACTGCGCAGACAGGCTGGCAGTCGCCCCTGCGGGGGCCTCGGCTGGCCGGCCAGCACGGCAGGGGCCCCAGGGAAGGCCAGTGTGCTTCACGGATAATTAGGAGCATGTGTATAATGTTATGCAGCTGACAGTCAAGTGGGCGGATGTCCAACCTGAACCAGCAAAAGGAAGATTCTTCCTAGCCCCGAATGAGTAAGAAAACATTTCCCTGCCTTGGAATTTTCCAGGGCCCTCAGGCGAACCAGAGGCCCCAGACTGGGGGTGCCGAGGACGCCCCCACTCGCGGCCACACGTGTTTTCCTGGGGCTGAGGTTGCACTGAATGCTGAGCTTTAGCTTCCTGGTTATCGCTGGGCGTTAGCCTGGTGTATCACACTAGACACAAAGTAGACGGCTAGCATGCTCCTAAAGTGCTGACTATGGGTCCCGGAAAACAGAGACCAGAGAAGGAAGGAGGCTGGACCAGTCACCAAGCCAGTCCTCGGGGAGCAGAAGGTGCTAGAGTCTCTGCTGCTTCTTGGGTGATACATTCTGGCTTTGCTCTGCCCCCGCCCCAACCCCCACAGTAGCTTTCCACAGCCCCACCACCAGGATCAAGAAGGAGCCCCAGAGTCCCCGCACAGACCCGGCCCTGTCCTGCAGCAGGAAGCCGCCACTCCCCTACCACCATGGCGAGCAGTGCCTTTACTCCAGGTGAGTGCCAGCTGGCCCCCGGAAGGAGGGCAGGGAGGCCGCCCATGAGCAGAGGCAGCGGCTCAGATGCAAGTCAGACCGCCGAAAGGTTCCCCGGCTCCTGCCAAGGGGGCCCAGCTAAGGAGCAGCATGGAAGAGACACAGAGGCCCCAGGGATGTGAGTTAAGACTGGCGCAGGCTCTGCTTCCGCTGAGAGGCCCCTGTCTCACCCAAGCCAGTTGCTCTGTGCTGGGAGAGATGTTCTCAAGATCAGGGTCAGGACTGAGGAAAGCAGAGAAAGGCGGCACCTGCGACACAGTCTGCGGCTCCTGCCCTTCCCTTCCCAGCCCCCTCGGTCCTGCCTTCTCCTGAAATCCCTGCGGCCTCACCCTGGAGATGAAGGGCTCAAAGATCCTTGCTCAGCTTCTCTGCCCCCTCACCCCATCTCCCCCTCAACTCCAGTGCCTATGACCCCCCCAGACAAATCGCCATCAAGTCTCCTGCCCCCGGTGCCCCTGGACAGTCGCCCCTGCAGCCCTTTCCCCGGACGGAACAGCGGAGTTTCCTGAGAGCCTCTGGTGCCTCTCAGCCCCACCCCAGCCATGGGTACCTCGGGGAGCACAGGTAAGGAGACAGGCACACCGCTGCTCCTGTGGGTCCAGGTCTCACCCTAAAGGTTTCCCAAACAGGTGTGGAGGGGGGTAGGGAGGAAGCGTATGGAACCCCCCCCCACCCCACCCCACCCGAGCCCACCTGGTAAGTCTGGGAATGGCAGACTAGAGGAGGGCTTAATTTAGGCTTCTGTTCTCTTCCTTCAAGCACACCCAGCTCCGTCTTCCAGCAGCCCCTGGACATGTGCCACTCCTTCACATCTTCTCAGGGTGGGGGCCGGGAGACCCTCCCAGCCCCCTACCAACACCAGCTGTCGGAGCCCTGCCCACCCTACCCCCAGCAGAGCTTCAAGCAGGAATACCATGACCCCCTGTATGAACAGGCGGGCCAGCCAGCTGTGGGCCAGGGCGGGGTCAGCGGGCACAGGTACCCAGGGGCGGGGGTAGTGATCAAACAGGAACAGACGGACTTCGCCTACGACTCAGGTAAGGGACTCTCCTGGGGAGGGCGCAGAGGGTGTGTGGGATTGCCAGGTGGGGGAGGTCCGTAATCACGGGAGTAGTTCAGTGAAGCCCAGGATGTCTCTCCAGGAGTTCTTCACGTTCCCATCTGTTTATCAGTTCATACATCCAAGCTCCCCATCCATTCGCCTTTCTTTCCTAAGGAACTGTCATGTTTCAATCAGCGAATTTAGACTTAGATTAAAAGATAAGGGGCATGTAGACTCTTAGACTTGTGACTTAGCAGGAAAGGTAAGGCATCTGTGTCTATTTAACAGGCAGTTGGGGGTTGGATGCCCTACTAAGACCCAAGACTGGCATGTGTCACTGGCCCCCAGCTCCAAAGGGATTTGAATAAAAAGAAGCATAAGCTTGAAACAAGCCAGGCTCCTACTTCCCGGTTGGCTCGCAGGGTTAATGTGTGGTTTTCCCTATCCTGTGTGATGGATGGCCTAGCGCCCCGGCTGGGCACTGGAAGTAGCGACTGCTTCAGTTTCTCATGCCACCTGGCTATTACCAGAAGCTGGATGGCCTCAGCCACGTTCATAAATAGCAGCCAGGGAGGGCCTTTCTGAATTAGGAAAGGCCCAAAAAACAAACCCTCCCTTGTTTTAGTACCTCCTGGCTTCTGTTACATTGTTACCAGCCCCAAACTGGGTGTACCTGCAAGTTTGCTTCCATAAATAAATGTAGAGGTTAGAGTAGGCTCAGAGCTGGCTAGAGCTTGAGGGTTTTTCATTTTCTGGTGCCCACTGTCTTTCAGGGGCAGAGGAATGAAATACAGGTCCGTCCGCCCCCCCACCCCTCTCCCACCCCGCTGTCCAAGTGTAAACCTTAAGCGTGCCCTGAAACAGGGTGGGGATAAGCCCTTGCCTGGCTGGGCCGTGAGGTGCAGCAGGGAGGAGGGAGATGCTCTTGCCGCTGACCTTCAAAGGCTATAGACCGGAGGGGATCGTGTTACATGCCCTTGAACTCCTGCCCCTCCCCCCAGCTTCCCTGAATGGAGTCAGGAATTCCATTCACAAAATGGAGGCATGAATGAACCCATCCTCCCGCCTCCTCCCGGAGGTGTCAGGTTTCACAGTCTCATTCATAGGTGGGAGTGGAGGGGGGCGGGCAGGAAGGGGTTGGAACTTGAACGGGTGGCTTCACACTCGGGGGGTGGGGTGGGGGGGAGTTTTCTGTCCTGTGGAATGGAGTGGAATGGACTGGAATGTGCCCTGCTGTTAGACCTGGGAGAGCACGGCTCAGTGCTCACTGCCTCTTTCCCAGATGCGTGCTAGAGCTCCGGCTCCCTCAGTGTTTGTCTCTTTTCCTCTGGAGTGCGCGTGCGCGCGCACACACACACACACACACACACACGGCCAGGAACCTGACCTGCTGACCGGACGTCTGCCCCTTCCGAGGGAGCCTTAGGCATGGACACCGGACCCTTTCCCCGGAGGTTCATCTCTCACACCGCCCCCCTCCCAACTCACAGGAAACAGCTGCTCCCTGGAATCCCGGGCCCTGGGGAGGAACAGCTTGCCCAGCCCCAGCTGCTGCCATCCATGCCCTCTGGCCCAGCCCTGGAGCTGAGGGGCACAAGCCTCATGCCCCCTGGGGTGAACTTCCCCTGGGATTTGGTGGTGGGCAGGCGACTGGGACAAGAAAAGTCACCGGAAAGCAGGCTGGCAGGAAGAATTCCTTGAATGTGTGGAGGACATCCTCCTCCCCTCCCCCTGCCCAGCCACCTGAAACCGCACCCTTTCCTCCCTGCAGATGTCCCTGGGTGTGCCTCCATGTACCTCCACAATGAGGGCTTCTCCGGGCCCTCCCCAGGTGAGGGGCCATGGGTAAGGCAGACCTCTGTTTCCCATAGCAAGCCCGCCAAGCAGGAGGAGGGAGCCCTGCCTGGGGGAGGGTCTCCCTAGCCAGGAGTCCCTGTGGACTCAGATCTGAGAGACCCCCAACTTCCTCCACAAGGCTATGGCTATGAGAAACCTCTGCGACCATTTCCAGATGATGTCTGCGTTGTCCCTGAGAAATTTGAAGGTCAGAGAAGTGGCTGTTGCTGGAGGGTGGGACACAGGGTGCAGGGTCTGGGGCACCAAAGGTGGGGAGACCCCCCAACCCCTCACCTCCTATTTTGTGTTCCCCAGGAGACATGAAGCAGGAAGGGGTTGGAGCATTCCGAGAGGGGCCGCCCTACCAGCGTCGGGGTGCTTTGCAGCTGTGGCAGTTTCTGGTGGCCCTGCTGGACGACCCAACCAATGCCCATTTCATTGCCTGGACGGGCCGGGGGATGGAGTTCAAGCTCATCGAGCCTGAGGAGGTGAGTCCCCAGACGTCCCCAACCCCTCCTCGTCAACAGCTCTGGGGCTTGGAGAGGAGAGACCCTGGGAAGTGGTAGCACCTGCCTTCATCACCATCTTTGCTTGACCTGACCTGGATTCTTGCCGCCCCTGAGTGTGGGCTGCTGCCCGGCTGCAGGGCTGGCTTAGCCTTGCAACAAGAATCTCAGAGCCTTTCCAACCTGCCCATCCCCCCCCACACACACACCTTTTTTCCTTCTGTCCCCAGGTTGCCAGACTCTGGGGCATCCAGAAGAACCGACCGGCCATGAACTACGACAAGCTGAGCCGCTCACTCCGATACTATTATGAGAAAGGCATCATGCAGAAGGTCAGGGCTGAGGGTCAGGAGCAAGAGGAGGGGTGCCGGGCAGTGCCTGGGGAGCTAGGAGGTCAGGAACGTGCAGGAATAGCAAAGGAGTCAAAGGGGGCAAGAAGCTGTGGACAATCCCAAGGTTTCCCTTTCCCCAAAAAAGTGCCAAACATTAACAGAAAGGCCCAAACAAACCATGGAGAGATTGAGACGAGGGGTAAGGACTGGGAAGGAAGCTGGCTTCTTAAGAGAGCCAGAGAAGGAGGTAAGTGTGCCCCACATCTGCCTGGACCAGGAGAGGGGCTGCAGCCCCCAGCTTACAGCAGGTGGGGGTGGGGAAAACTGGGCTGAGCCAGCCCCTCTCTCCTCGCAGGTGGCTGGCGAGCGGTACGTGTACAAGTTCGTGTGCGAGCCGGAGGCCCTCTTCTCACTGGCCTTCCCGGACAATCAGCGTCCCGCTCTTAAGGCTGAGTTTGACCGGCCAGTCAGTGAGGAGGACACAGTCCCGTTGTCCCACCTGGACGAGAGCCCCGCCTACCTCCCAGAGCTGGCCGGCCCTGCCCAGCCCTTTGGCCCCAAGGGTGGCTACTCTTACTAGCGGCCAGTGGCTTCTCCCCTGCTGTGGACGGGTGCTGCTCTGTGTACATAAGGCTGAATGTGCTGTCAGGGAAAACCCTCGCTCTGACACCCACAGATGTCTCCGAGGCAGATCTCCACTGTCCTGTCAGTCAACCCGGCCCAGACTCTCAACTGCCCACCAGTCTTTGGGAAGGAAGCAAGCCTGCAGGTGCAATCCTCCGCTGGGGCTTTTACTTCCGCTCCGAGGAGTTCGGCCCAGCCTCCTCCCAGGGCCTGCTTAGAGGCCCAAGCCCTGCTCCCTTTCCCCCACCAGAGAACAAGCCTTTGTTCTATCCTGGGGGACAGAGGGAGCTTCCCAACTCCTATCTTGGCAGGGGGACGAAGGGGCTCATTGAGCTCTGCAGGTCTCCCGCCGTGGGGAGATCCAAGCCTGGACTCGACTCCACCCCAAGCCAGGGTCTGGAGGGCCCTGATCGTCAGTTCTTGGTGCTCCGTGTTTCCAGAGGCAGGGGGAGGGTGGAAGAAACCTTGGATGGAGGGGTGCAGGGTGGAGGAAAGGAGGGAGGAGTTCCTGCCCCAAGGAGCTCTTTTCCTAGGCTCAAGCCTGGGATTTCACCTCCACCCCAACCACGTCTGCCAGCTCTTTAATAAAGGCCCCTGCTTCTCCTATGAGTTCTCCAGTGTCCTCCTTGCTGCCACGGGAGGGTCCTGGGGGTCAAGAGCCCCAGAGTTTGGGGCCTGGCCCTGACAATTCCCACAGTCTGGATTTGGGGAAAGGCAGTTCAGGGAAGGCATGTGGTATAGTAGCCAACATGCTGGTTGGGCTGCCCACATCCAACACTGGAGTAGCTGCATGCCATTTCCTGCTGATGTAGACCCTGGAGGCAGCAGGTGGGGCTTGAGTGGTTGGGTTCCTGCCACCCACGTGAGAGACCTGGATTGAGTTCTGTCTCCCCCCTTTGGCCCGGCTTGGCCCCAGCCATTGCAGGCATTTGGAGAGTGAACCAGCGAATTGGCAAACTTTGTGTCTTCCAAATTTTTTTTTAAAAATTGGGCTTAATGATACCTGGTCTTCCCTCTCCCAGAATTACTGTGTGAAGACCCAGAAAGAATGAACAAAGTGTACTTTGCAAACTGGACAGGGCCTCTGGCTACCCTCAGCATGGTTCCGGCAGCCCCCTGCAGGCCCCCGGGGATGGGCAGGTGAGCCCCTGAGCTGTAGGCCCCCTTTCCTGGGGCTTCCTCGCAGCAGGCCTGTCCGTAATCACAGCTACTCCTGAGGGAGCTGTGTACTCCAGCCACGGGTCCTCCCTCCTCCCCCAACTCCCATGGCTATTTTTGCTGCAGTTGGGAGTGCGTGAGTTTGCAGAAGGGGCCAAAGGAGGCACCCTGACTGGGTGGGAGGGTGGCCTAGAGCAGGCCCCGGCAGGGAAGGAGGTGAGATCTTCAGGGAAGGGGGAGTAGGAGGCAGCAGGTTGTCCTCGCCCAGTCTGAGTGAGTAGGTAGCAAAGGCAAAGATGAAAAAGTGACCGCTACACAGCAGTGTGACTGCGGAGAAGACACGGGCGGTTGAGGAGGCAGCGTGGGGGTTCCAGAGCCAGCCCCTGGTAGACGGCTTCCTGGGCGACAGGCTCAGGTCAGTACACAGGCCGTCCTGCTCAATCAGAACCACAGCTGTGCCGAGGCTGTTCCAACTGAAACGGCTTCTGCCAGCAGCCTCTGACCTGCACGCACCTCCGATGACTGCCACCCTCGCAGCTGAAGGGACAACCTTGTCCATGCCAAGTTTTATGGTCACAAAACTTCACACGTGCCAGCTTACAATTTCAAACAAGACACAGAACATCAACGTTAAGAAACAAGTTTTTAACAGGTATATAATTTAGTTCCACACTGATGTCAGGCTGTTACGGTGGAAAGGAGGTACAAAGCTCAGGTGAAGGGGTGGGTGTTTGGAGAGACCCTCACCCCATACCGGAGTGCCTGATTCAACTCCTGGCTACTCCGCTTGCCACTCAGTTTCCTGCTAACGTGCACTCCGGGTGGGCAGCAGGTGAGGTTCGAACACAAGTCAGTCCCAGCCACCCACTGGGAAAATACAGATGGCGTTCTGGGCTCCTGGCTTTGGCCTGGCCCAGCCCTGGCTGTGGTGGGCATTTAGGGAGTAAACCAGCAGATGTAAGATCTCTCGTGTGTCTGCCTTGCAATTAAGATGAAAGTAAGTCAATAAAAACAATTCTAAAAAATCAGGTGGAAACCCTGAGCGCCAAGTACACAAACTTGAGGGGTGCAGATGAGAAGCAGCATCCAGGGAAAGAATGAGCCAGTCGCCCTCTGCCCTCTGCCCTCTGCCCTCTGCGCGGTCACTAATAAGCCGCTCCTGGCGGCTTTGTTCAGATCCTCAGACTTGGAGGGCGCTGCTTCATGGAGACAGCCGCGGCAAGCACCGGGCTGAAGGAGGGACAGCCAGAACCTAATGTGGTCCAGATGGGATGCCAGGAGCCTGACCCAGCAGAGGGCCAGCCTGTGCCCCCGGGGCCGCCGCACGTGCACAAACAGACTGGGCGCTTCCACGTGCGGGGCCAAGACCCTTGTGAGCTAGGCCCCTGCTGCATTAGGGTGACAGCGGAGAAGAGTCTAGCTCTGCATGAGACCTTGCTGGTTCAAAGAAGAGAAACAAGGGCCCTATTGTGTGACGGCAGCAGGCCAGCTCTCCTGAACCCGGAGGAGTCTGCCTGTCTGTCGCAGTAGGCCCTGCTCTGTTGCCAACACGGCTTTCCTGATGGACAGTCAAAAGAGCAGATGTAGGCATGACAGAGCAGGGAAGCGACTCAGTTGTAGGGAAGAGATGGTCCAGGAACACTCCTCTCTGCTCACCCAAGCCAGAAGGTGGCCAGCCCTGCTGTCCCTCACCCTTGACCCATGAAACATCTGAGTTTAAAGATTGAGCCTCTCTCTTCAGGTGCCAACACTGTGTGTGCTGGGCCGCCACGCCCAGGAGTGTGCCCCACAATGGGGAGCTCAGGCTGCCTTAGGACTGGGAGCTGGTGGGGCGGGGTTGTGGTGCAGCAGGTGTAGCTGCTGCCTGCGATGCTGGCATCCCATGAGCGCCGGTTCAATTCGTGCCTGCTCCACTACTGATCCAGCTCCCTGCTAATGCACCTTGGTAGAGCAGTGGATGGTCCAAGTGCTTGGGCCTCTGCACCCATGTGGGAGACCCGCAGGAGGCTTCTGGCTCCTGGCTTTGGCCTGGCCCAGCCCCAGCCATTGCCACCATTTGGGGAGAACTTTCTTTCTCTTCCTCCCTCTCTCTCTAACTCTCACTTTTCAAATCAATAAAATAAGTCTTCAAAAAAAAAAAAAAAAAAGGGCAGGAGCTTAGTGCCTGTGCCTGGCCCCCGTCCTCTCTCCCCCTGAGGCTTGTGAGGCTGACCCCAGCAGCCCTGCTGCTTCACGGCTGGCCAGGGCTTCCTTGGGAGCACAGCAGAATCGGGAGGCGCTCACTCAGCCAAATGAAGGGACAGGAATCTGCAGTCAGCAGACTCGCTGGCCTATATTCCTCTTCCTTGAATTCTCCTTCACTGGGTCGTTGGGGTGCCCAGTGACAGGCAGGACTTACACATTCCTCCTTATCATGGGACATCCTATAGCCTCTTCTAGTATCTGGCACAGAAGTCGAAAGTAGTTCTGGCATTTACATAATTCCAGAACTTACTAATATGTGTGGGGGAGGTAGTGGCCTATCACCAGATGTGCCCAAGCTCCCTGGGGTTTCTCTGTAAGCTCCCTGTCCAGACCAGCTTCCCGAAAGTGCCATACACTTGGCCTGGCAGGGCCTCCCCCAGGAGCCAGCCATTCCCCAACCAAATTGCTAGAAGGAAAGCACTGAGAACAAGCCCTGGAGCACGGACAGCCCAGCACAAACTGAGAGGCTCTGAGAGGTGTTGGGTTCACTTTCTGTTAGGGTGGGGGAGGGGTGGCATTGACCATAAAATTCCTTTGTTAAATCCATCAAGGGCCTTGGGGGGAAAAATAAAAACAAAATGAAATCCGTGTCGTTACTTAGCATGTTTGTAAAGGAAACGGGACACACTGCATGCTGGGAGTGTGACGGGGTGGGGGGAGCCTTGTGCACTCCATATGCAGCATCTGTAACCACTCAGGCACCCAGACTGAAACGTTCTGCTGCCTGGATGTGGTTAATCACAGCCGGCCGCTGGCTGAGCGGGGCTCGTGCTGGTGCTGAAAGATAAGACTGCGGGTCTGGGCTATGCGTCATGTCCGAGCCCAGGAGGCCCGGGCTCTGGTTTCAGGGGATTCTCAGCCAGGTGCCCCAGAGCCGCAGATACTAAATCTCCCTCACCTGAGCCCAGGCCAATATCCTAATCTGTCAGCTAAAAGAAACACTCGCAGAAAACCATTTTTGTTTCCTTATGAAAATAAATATTTCCAGGAGGTTACACAGAAGTACAGGGGCTGGGGAAGGGGCGGGAGGTGGGGCCAACACCGTAGCTGAGCCACGGCTCCCTGCGGCAGACAGAGCATGCGCCCTCACCGTGTCTGCATCCGATGCCCTCTCCCCTTTCCCACGCAAGGCTGCACAAGTCGCCTTTCTTGAAGATGCAATCCATCCCCACATTGCCTACGAGCCCCGAGTTGGCCCCAAGGCTTGAGGTGATGGTGGCTGGAGGCTTTGGCCAAAGCCAAGCTTAGATCCCCGTTTTAGTTTACAATAAGGGGAGAAGTTAAGAGTCGAGTTGAGAAAACACCAGGTAAAATAGTCATCTCAGGACAGCCCTGGCCTTAGGACCAGCTTTTCATCAGCTGCAGTCCAAGCCTTGGGCACCGCTGCGGGGAGGCAGCCGGCCAAGCCGGCCCTTCAGCGCCGCCGGAAGGCCCGGGATATTCTCCAGGCATTGGGCTCCTCATACCGGTTGTACAAGGGTTCAAGACGCTGCTGCTTCTTCTGCTTGCTCAGCTTGGTTGGGTCAGAGACCTTGAAGAAGGCGGGGGCGAACTCCACGAGCCACCGAGGGTCGATGGTGGTGACCTCACGCATGTACTCCTTTGTGGTCAGCACCAGTTCGTGGTACACCACCCTGAGTGGGGAGAGAAAGGACTCAAGCCTCTGCCCCAGGCTCCACGCCCATCGCTCCCGTCTCTGTGGTCTTGGCTGGGTTTGCATTTTACCCTCTTTCTGCTCCTGCCTGATCCCCTAGGAGTCTGCAGGCCACGGAAGACAGCCACACCCCGATATCAGAAAGCTCGCTAGGGAATGCATCCCAGTCCTGGCTCTGGTTCTGACTAGTGAAGTCACATGGAGCCAGTCAGGTCGTCCAGATCTCAGAGCCTGGTTCTGTGAAGTGGGAGAGCAGCTTCGCAGACTGTTTCCACGGAACTCCAAGGCCCTGCACAGGGGTGCTGCGCACTGTGACAAAGGCCCGGCCCTTCCACCCTAGTGGCAGGGCAGTTTTAAATTTCTAGTAAGTTCCAATAAGAAGCCAATTTCTTAAAACACTACTTAAAAAGTTTTCAAACCGTCTCATCAGATGTCATTTAAGATCCTCCCCAGCCGTTATCTCTCTGATTTCCTTTTCTCAAAACGACTGAATATTGCACCTAATTCAGGCTTCTGCTCCTACAGAAATACGAGGGAACTTCAGCAAGCTTGTATTCACGTCTTCCACGAACGTTCTGAAGTCCCCTCGCATAAACAGTGCTAGAACAGGAAGTGCCGGAGTGCGGCAGACAGGAGCACGAAGGGCTGGACAGTGCCGGGGACTCTGCCCACACACCCCCGGACCTCGCCACCTACCACTCTGGCTGCCTGTTGAAGAGAGCGCTGGAAGGATGGATGTAGACCACCTGCTGGTCAATCAGCGTCCGGTAGCCCTCTTGGGGGTCTTTCTTGGCAGCATTACGGAAGAAGCCGCTGCAGATGGCTTTCTGCACTCGGACCGTGGACTTGCCGCAGGAGACCACATCCAACTTGTGTCTATCAAGAGAAGAAAGGACAGAAACGTGAGCCCACTGCACTTCAGAATGCCAGCGCCCAGCGTCCCCATCCTGGGGTCCCCAAAGTCTCCAAAATCTTCCTTCTGACCCTATGAGTACTACAGCAGCAGCTCTGCTGGAGGGCAAGATAGAGGCACTAAACCCTGAATCTCTGCCTATCAACAATTCAACTCAGCTGAGCAACCTCCCAGAGGCCTGGAAACAAAGCATTTTCAACCACCAATAAATCAGTTCCTCCTTATCTCCTTAGGAACTTCTGTTTTTTTCAAAGAAAAAAAAAAAAGATTTATTTGAAAGGCAGTGAGGGAGAGAGAGAGGGAGAGGATGAATCTTTTCATTTGCTGGTTCACCCTCCAAATGGCCGCAATGGCCAGGGCTGGGCCAGGCTAATCCAGGAGCCTGGAACTCCACTGAGGCCTGCCATGTGGATGCAGGGACCCAAGCGCTCGGGCCATCTGCTGCTGCACTCCCAGGAGCCTGATCTGAAGTGGAGCAGCCAGGACCCGAACACTTGAACTGGTGCCCACATGGGATGGAGTGGTGCAGGTGGCACTTAATCCACTATACCACGATGCTGGCCCCCTCAGGAACTTTCTGAAGTGACCCTCAGCTGCACCCCTGCCTGGACAGAAGGACTAGAACAGGATGGAAAAGCTTCAGGAAAAGTGTTACATGAGCAGCCAGGTACAGGCATCTGCAGCTACAGGTGAATCTGGTTACTTACGGAGACAAACTGGTACTCGGGGAGCTTCAACCCCAACACAGGAAGTGCCTGGATTCCTGGCTTACCTGTCCATTATGCCTAACATCTGTTTGCGAATGTCTTGAGCTCGGCGCAGGGAACGAGCCTGGATAAAGTTCTCATAGCACCAGGGGTTAGAGAATTTGTTGTTCTTCCAGGAGTTGTACACGGCCAGCAGGGTGAGGTGGTCCCCTTCGGTCTGGTGGAATTTGGCCTTCTTCTGATCCGCGAGGGCTTGTTTATCCTGAAGAGCAGTCGACAGAAGATCACTTTCCACCTAACACTCACTGAACATCCTGCAGTTTTAGGGAGTCCTCCACACCCTGTCAAAGTGTCCATAGCAACAGGATGACTTCCCCCAAGTCCACGGCCCCACTCTCTGAATGTGGGGCTGAACTCCCTACCTTGGGCCGGTAGAAGACGTTCTGCACAGACAGCATGGACACGATGGTCAGCATTTCCTCACTGCAACCCAGATGCACAGACATGATGAGCATTTTGCACAGCATGGGCTCCAGAGGGAACTCTGCCATCTAGAGGGAGAAAAGGAAACTGCAGTTGCTTCCCTGTGGAAGAGTCGCGCACTCCCACGTGGACATCCTGGGTGTTTCCACCTTTCAGTTATTATGAACAATGGTCTCAGGTGTAAAAAACTCTCCTCCAGAATGACAACCCATACGACTCAACAACAAAAATATAAACAACCCAATTAAAAAATAGGGTAACAGGGCCGGCACTGTGGTATAGTGGATGGGGTCACTGCCTGCAGCGCCAGCATCCCATGTGGGTGCCAGTTCGAGTCCTGGCTGCTCCATTTCCGATCCAGCTCTCTGCTGCAGCCTGGGAAAGCAAAGGAAGATGGTCCGAGTCGGCCCCTGCACCCACATGGGAGACCCAAAGAAGGCTGCTGGCTCCTGGCTTCAGCCTGGCTCAGCCCTGGCCATTGCAGCCATTTGGGGAGTGAACCAGTGGATAAAAGATCTCTCTCTCTCTCTCTGCCTCTGCCTTTCAAACAAATTTTAAAAAGTAAATAAAAAAATTAAAAATAAGGTAAAGATATGAATAGCCATTTCTTCAAAGAAGATACACAAATGACACTGGGCATGGGGAAAACAGACCGAAGTGTGACAGCGCAGGATGGCTGTCTCCGTCAGAAGAATGTTGTTGCTTTTTTTCTTCCCAAATAAACCCGGCAGAATGTATGCAGCCAAGAACATCACTACCACTGGGGTCATGAGAACTGTGCAGACATTTCTTATAAATTAAGACTAGACTCCACAATCGAAATGTATCCTGAGGCAAAACTAACTGAATAGAATCTCCTTTTCTCTAAAGAAACAGTTTAAAGTTTTGGTGGAAAATTCAGGTTAAAAACAAGGCATCTAGAACTTTACTCAAAGCTTATCCAGGGCCTCAGAGTTTGGTTTTGCAAAACCACAGAAGACAGAAGGCTTGGGAGTCTTCCCAAAAGCGCAGGCAGTGAGCTCTGTCTTTACCCTGCGGCCCAGGCGGGTGAGCAGGCCCTCGTCGTCCAGGGCCCCCAGTGTGTACAGCTGCTCCATGGCTGTGATCAAGGTCTCCATGGGTGGGGCATCCATGAAGTCAAAGGAGAGCAGGTCATTGATGCCCATGGCCTGGAAGAGAAGAGAAGAAAGCACAGATGGCAGAGTGCAACTTGCCAGTGTTACCACAGAGGGAGGCAACTTGTCTCTTTCCTCCCTGACTCTTCAGCTGTAATTAAGAATCACCAGTGAGAGTAGTGGTACCACCCACGACTAAGTCACACAAAACTCAGTGGCATAAGCCACTGCCTGTATGTCAGCATCCTATAGGAGTGCTGACTGCAGCTGCTCCAGTTCCAATTCAGCTCCCTCTTAATGCGCCTAGGAAGGCAGTGTAAGATAGCCCAAGCGCTTGAGCCCCTGTATCCACACGGGAAACAGGAGACCCAGATGGAGTTCTAAGCTCCTGGCTTCGGGCTGCTGCAGCCTTTTGGGGAGTGAACCAGCAGATAGAAGATCCCTTTCTGTCACTCTGCCTTTCAAATAAATTAAAGCATTGGCAAGGATGGGAGAAATGGGAAACCTTCGTGGTTGCTGGTAGGTCTATAAAATAGAAGAGCTACTGTGAGAACAATTTGGTGATTTTTTTTTTTCAAGATTTATTTATTTATTTGAAAGTCAGAGTTAGAGAGAGAGAGAGGGAAGGACAAAGTGTTTCATCTGCTGGTTCACTCCCCACATGGCTGCAATGACCAGGGCTGGGCCAGGCTGAAGCCAGCAGCCAGGAGTTTCACCCAGGTCTCCCATGTGTGTGCAGGGGCCCAAGGACTTGGCCCATCCTCCACTGCTTTCCTAGGTGCGTTAGCAGGGAGCTGGATTAGAAGTGAACAGCCATGGGGCCAGTGCTGCGGCGTAGTGGGTAAAGCTGCCACCTGCAGTGCCAGCTTCCCATATATGCACTGGTTCTAGTCCCAGCTGCTCCACTTCTGATCCAGCTCTCTGCTATGGCCTGGGATAGCAGTACAAGATGGCCCAAGTCCTTGGGCCCCTGCCCCTGCAACCGTGTGGGAGACCCCGAAGAAGCTCCTGGCTCCTGGCTTCAGATCAGCGCAGTTCTGGCCATTGCAGCCATCTGGGGAGTGAACCAATGGATGGAAGACCTTTCTCTGCCTCTCCTTCTCTCTCTGTGTAACTCTTTCAAGTAAATAAATAAATCTTTAAAAAAAAAAAAAGTAAAGCAGCCAGGACTCAAACCAGCACCCACACGGGATGCTGGTGCTGCAGGCAGCAGCTTTACCCACTATGCCTCAGCACTGGTTGGTAATTATGGTAATTAATAATACACATAGAATCACCACATGACCAGCAATCACTCCTATATGTGTATGCCAGTAAGAACTGAAAGCAGGGACTCAGAGGTACTCACAGTAACATTATTCATAACAACCAGAAGCAGAAGCACTCCCAAATGCCCATCAACAGATGAACTGAAACACAACGTGCTATATTCACGCCATGGCATGACATTTAAAAAAGAATGAAATTCTGGTACATGCTACATGCTGGGTGAAATCAGCTAGATACTAAAGGACAAACATTGTGTGACTCCATGTCTATGAGGTATCTAAAACAGGCAAATTATCATAGAGACGGAAAGTAGAACAGTGACTCTCAAAGGCCACTGGGAGAGGGGAAGGCAGAGTTACTGTGTAACAGGTACAGAGCTTCTGTTTGGGATGGTAAGTCTCAGAAATGGATAGTGGTGATGGCTGTACAATACTCTGAATAATACCACTGAATTATACACTTAAAAAGATGACAATGGTATATTTTATGTTTTACTTTACAACAGAAGGGCAATATACCAGCTCTTGCATAAATATACTATCTCTTGCATACATTATTTCTACTGTATCTTGTATGATGTTAAGGTGGTAGGGGTATAATAATGACTAAGGGGGCAGGCTTGGTGGCACAGGTTAAGACACTGCTTGGGATGCCCACATCCCACAGGAATGCATGGTTCAAGTCCTAGCTACCCCATGTTCTTTTGTTTTTAAGCATACAAATTTATTTATTCTAAGTTTTAAGTGATACAGACATGAAGACCTGAGGAAGTGATTACACCTGTATGTTTTTTTTTTTTTCTTGCTACTCTATGTCCTGATCCAGGTTAGCTTACAACACAGAAGATAATGGCCCAAGCACCTGGGTCCCTGCCACCCCACGTGGAAGACCCAGATGGAGTTCCTGGATCCTGGCTTTAGCTTGGCCTAACCCCAGGTGTTAAGGACATTTGGGAGTGAATCTGTCACTCTTTCAAATAAACAAATTTTTCTTAAGGACTTATTTATTTATTTGAAAGACAGAGTTAGAGAAAGAGAGAGTTAGAGAGAGAGAGAGAGAGAGAGAGAGAAAGTATCTTCCATTTGCTGATTCACTCCCCAAATAGCTGGGCTGGGCTCAGGCCTAGAACTCCATTCAGGTCTCAAATGTGGGTGCAGGGGCCCAAGCACTTTGGCCACCTTTCGCTGCTTTCCCAGGCGCATTAGCAGAGAGCTGGATTGGAAGGAGAAGCCAGGACTCACACCAACATTCATAAAGGATGCCTGCATTGCAGGCTGTGGCTTAACCCACTGCACCACGATACCGGCCCCTGAACGTATATATCTTTAAAAAAAAGATTCAGGTATGGTCCTTCCTCTCAAAGGGTTCACAACAGTGAGCGCTGTTAACAAAGCCACAACCCAGTGTGATCTCCATGCCTGGCACGTAACAGGTGTTCACCACGTGTCAGCACATATGATGACTAAGAGAGGACTGCACAATGCGCCGTTCAGGTGTGGATAAAGGGTGATGTGGTAGGATCTAAGCTTGCTTCCCTGCTTTCTCACAAAGTGACTGTGACCACAAATAGAAGTGTTCAACAAATGCTTACTGTATGAATAATAACTATGAGGAATTCTGTAAGCAATTATTAAACACTGTGCCAAATGTCTTTATCTGCATTATTTCACTAATCCTTTAAAAAAAAAGATTCATTTACTTGAAAGGCAGAGTTTGGGGCTGGCACTGTGGCTTAGTGGGTAAAGCCAGCGCCTGTAGTGCCAGCATCCCATATGGGCACTGGTTCAAGTCCCAGCTGCTCCACTTCCCATCCATCTCTCTGCTATGGCCTGGGAAAGCAGTACAAGATGGCCCAAGTCCTCGGGCCCTTGCACCAGCATGGGAGACCTGGAAGAAGCTCCTGGCTCCTGGCTTCAGATCGGCGCAGCTCTGGCCATTGTAGCCAACTGGGGAGTAAACCAGCGGATGGAAGACCTTTCTCTCTCTCTCTGCTCTGCTTTTCTCTCTGTGTAACTCTTTCAAATTAATAAATAAATAAATATTTATTTATTTATTTGAAAGTCAGAGTCCATCTTCTACTGCTTTCCCAAGCCATAGCAGAGAGCTGGATGGGAAGTGGAACAGCCGCATCTCGAACCAGTGCCCAAATGGCGTCCATATGGGATGCCGGCGCTTCAGGCCAGGGTGTTAACTCACTGCGCCACTGTGCCACAGCACCAGCCCTGTAAATAAATAACTCTTAAAAAAAAAAAAAAAAAAAAAGGCAGAGTTACAAAGGGGTGGGGAGAGAGACAGAGAAAGAGGTCTTCCACTTGCTGGTTCACTCCCTAAATGCCCGCAAAAGCTGGGCTGGGCCAGGCTGAAGCCAGGAGCTTCCTCCTGGTCTCCCTCGTGGGTGTAGGGGCCCACGCAGTTGTGCCATCCTCCACTGCTTTCCCAGGCGCATTACCAGGGAGCTGAGTCGGAAGTGGAGCAGCCGGGCCTTGAACTGCTGCCCACATGGGATGCCGATGCTGCAGGCAGCAGCTTTACCCACTAAGCCACAGCACCAGCCCCTTCACTAACCTTTACAACAGATACCATTAGTAGGCCCCATCTGAGACAGACAAGTGTGGCCGAGGTCACCCAGTTTGGGGCAGGCATCAGAGCCACAGATGCCTCCCTACTCATGTCCCAAAGACTGGAGCTGTTTTTTTCCTGAAGCTCTGTTTAGTCTCCTTACAGGGAATGAATAATGAATGACATCAGAGCGTTCTGCACCAGGAAAGTAGCAGGCTGCAAGGCAGCATCGGTGTCGGGGGAAATGCCATCAGCTGGGATATTACACACGCCGCTCCTCCTGCCAAGAGAGAATGAAGGTCCTCACGAGGCACTGAGACAGGAAGAGCAATGACTCAGAATGAAAACTGAGCCCCAGAGGATCACTCTGCTCCCTTGCAGTTTCTGGACAAGGATTTTCCTTCCCTTCTGAAAAAACAGAACTGCATCTGAATGATACAGAGGTCAAGCATATCTGTCCACAGTCTGGCACTGACTTTTTCAAATTTCCTTTAGAAAGCATTTCTAACTAAAACCTTTTACAACCAACTCTCCTACTGGCCATTATGGTAAGAACCATGTGTGGTCACAGCACACATGCCAACTTAGCCCCTGACTGCCAAGGAGAGGCTGTTACCAGTGCCGTTTGCATTTCACTAAGGGATGGGTTCCATGAGGTTACTGAAGTATTTAACGAGGTTCATAAAACTGAGATTCATTGAGTAAAGCCTAGGATTGAACTAGGCCATCAACCCATTCTAACAAGACAATGATTTCTACCTTGAGCGAGAGCACTGTGCTCGCTAAGTTGGTTCTCTGGATTTCCGGCACGTTGGTGGTCAGCATTTCATCTCGGTAGGCACGTTCTGTGTACAGCCTGTAGCACTTCCCTGGACCTGTTCTCCCAGCTCTGCCAGCTCGCTGCTTTGCCTGAGCCTGGAGGGGTGGGCACAGAAAATTAACATATCTGTTAAACGTTGCTTCACGGCTTTAGCTGGGCAGTCAGTCCACAGTGGAGCACTTAGTAACCTGCAGAGTCAGAGCTGAGGTGCACTTCACCTTCTGGACACCACCTCCTCGACTACCAGTGCTCTCACCCCTACCACCCCTCTCCAGACTTCGCACTTCAGGGAAGCGGGGTAAATGGAAGAAATGTAGAAAATATAAAACAAGATGACAAACAGGACCAAGATGGAAGTGAAATAAATAAACTGTTAACCACACCAATGATGACTTTGTAGCCAATTTAAAAATCAGGTTTACAATGGTTAGTGACAGTGGAAAAAAGTGAATTATGAAACAACATAATACTAAATTTGTAATGAGTCTTTATGTGTATATATAAACTAGTAGAAGGGAATGACTAGGAAAAAAATACCTAAAATGTTTACAGTGGTTACCTCTGACGGCAGGCCTGCAGTTGAGTTCTATTTTCCTTATTATTTACCAAATATTCAATAATGAACAGGTAAGGCTTTATTTATTTATTTGAAAGTCAGAAGTACAGAGAGAGAGAGGGAGAAACAGAGAGAGATCTTCCACCCACTGGTTCACTCCCCAGATGGCTGCAACAGCCAGGGCTGGGCCAGGCCAAAGCCAGGAGTCAAGAGCTTCTTTCAGGTCTCTCACATGGGTAGCAGGGGCCCAAACACTTGGGCCATCCTCCGCTGCTTTTCCTAGGCCATTAACAGGGAGTTGGATCAGAAGTGGAGCAGCCAGGGTACAAATAGGCACCCATATGGGATGCCAGTGTCGTAGGCAGTGGCTTTACCCACTACACCACAATGCCAGCCCCCAAACATTAATTATTTTAATAGTCCATAAAATTAAATACATAAAAAATACACAAAACTGCATACTTAACTGACTACTAGAATCGTAATTACAACAGAAACAAAAATAAGATTGGAAAGAAAAATCTCAAAATGATGACAATGGTGGCAATAGAATTATGGGTAATTAAAAATGCTTTCTGGCCGGTGCCACGGCTCAATAGGCTAATCTTCCGCCTGCGGTGCCGGCACCCCGGGTTCTAGTCCCAGTCAGGGCGCTGGATTCTGTCCCGGTTGCTCCTCTTCCAGGCCAGCTCTCTGCTGTGGCCCGGGAGTGCAGTGGAGGATGGCCCAAGTGCTTGGGTCCTACACCCACATGGGAGACAAGGAGAAGCACCTGGCTCCTGGCCTCAGGTCAGCGTGGTGCGTGCGGCCATAGCGGCCATTGGGGAGGTGAACCAACAGAAAAAGGAAGACCTTCTGTCTCTCTCTCTCTCACTGTCCACTCTGCCTGTCCAAAAAAAAAAAAAAAAAAAAATTGCTTTCTTCTATTTTCTGAAAACATTACTACTCCTGGACTTGGGGGTAAAGAGGTAGGATGCTAATTTTTTAAATGGAAAAAAAAAAAAAGCAGTTTATTTGTGGGTTGCTAGGAACCAGTGAAGAGCAATCTGAAGAGGGTCATTTTCTGACAAAGCCATCTGTTGTTACAGACAATACTAAGATTTACAAATTGCTAAGCCAGCTCCAACCAAAGAATGGGGTATGAGAACAACTAATTAATGTATTATATTCTGTATTAAAGAACTGGAAGGCCGGCGCCGCGGCTCAATAGGCTAATCCTCTGCCTAGTGGCGCCGGCACACCGGGTTCTAGTCCCAGTCAGGGCACCGGATTCTGTCCCAGTTGCCCCTCTTCCAGGCCAACTCTCTGCTATGGCCCGGGAGTGCAGTGGAGGATGGCCCAAGTCCTTGGGTCCTGCACCCCATGGGAGACCAGGAGAAGCACCTGGCTCCTGCCTTCAGATAGTTGGATTGATGCAGCTCTGGCTGTTGCGGTCATCTGGGGAGTGAACCAGCAGATGGAAGATCTCTCTCTCTGTAACTCTGTCTTTTAAAAAAAAAAAAGAACTGGAAGAGAGGATCTGGTAGGCTCTAAACACAAACAAAAGATAAAGACATAGAAAGGCTATCTGGTTTGATTGGTTTATGCTGTGTGTATAGGTTGGGGTACTGCACTGTATCTCAAAAGTGTATAACACTACATGTTAAAGTTCAAAAGGACAACTACTCATACTAACCCAGGCAGCAACCATGCACAGTGGTGGGACACACCAGCGTGCTGCCGCTGTTTCTCCAGGTCAGCAGAGGTGGTATAACTAACTTCCCAGTGACCCTGGGCATCACAGCCCAGCTGGAGCAGTGGAGCAGAGCACACACGCCACAGCAGACAGCCCAGACTCCAATCCTGCCATCACCAGCTGTGTGATGTTAGGCAAGCCACTCCAGCCCTCTGTGCCCCAGCCTCATCCGTGAAATGAGGATGATACCTACCACAGGGGACAGAAGTGAGACTGTACTGAGTCAATGTATGAAAGTACCCAAGACAGTGTCAGGCATCAGGCACTTAGGAAGTACCCTGAGTTATCCACTATTACTGCTCAAGTCTCAAACTGGAGATGGTCTTATTAGGGGTTTTACAGATTCTGAAAGTGACCCATATCCCCTGTAAGAGAGGAGGCAACGTGGAAGAGCAGAACCTGCACATCCCTCGGCAGCACCAGCCAGAAAGAACCTTGCTAGCTGCGAGTTTTCAGTCCTGGGCGCACCTCCCTCACAAAGGCACTGCCGAAATCCACACCGTCTATTTTTAAACCAAAATTAGATTACACCACTCATGCTCTTTCTATAGCTCACTTTTTCAAATAATGTATAACAGTTACATTAAATATAAATATACAGCCCCATGTTAGTGCCACATAATGTTCTACGGCATGGATATACCACATATTATTAAACTGCTTCCCTTCTTGAACTCATTTAGAATTTTACCAGGTTTCCCCTAATATGAACAATGCTTCCGTGAAAACCCTCTTCCATTCCTCTGGTTATGTATTCAATCATTCCTAACTTTCTGATTTATCCCTAGAAACAGGTTAAAAAGATGAGTTTTTCAATTTTGGACACATTATTGCCACACTGCCCTGAAAAAGATGATTAGATTCATTTAAAAATAGAATTTAGATAGGAAGTTATTTCATAGTTAACAAATGCATTTCATACATGATCATTATCTGAGGTAAGTATAGTAGTATTAAAAAATACATTCTTCCCACCTAAACTGGGTAATCCAGTGCCTGGATTCAAATATTCTTTGAAGTTCAGGTTTTATAGGGTATTTTAATGTTGAAACACTACTCTAAAAATTGGAAACAAGCAATATAAAACTGTCCCTTATCCCACTAGATGAACTTTCAAAAGTTCATCTTTTGAAAACAAAGTTCAAAATATAGAACCATAAAAAATTTCAAAAAGCCCTACTGAGGCTTTTCCGGAAAGCTACTGGTAAAAGCTCCCATACCTGGGAAATAGGTGTTACCACGAGCTGGTCGATCCCTGTCTTGGAATTGTAAACTTTCTGCTTCACGAATCCGGGGTCCACCACGTAGTAGATGCCATCGATGGTCAGTGACGTCTCCGCAATGTTGGTGGCAATCACAACCTGCAGGCAACAGGACCACGGTCAGCATGCAATGCCCAAATTCAGCCTCACCATGCGAAACAGGGCTCCTGAATTCAGACATCTTCCCAAGGCAGCGTGCAGCCTTCTCTCCCTCTATAAGGTTGGGACACTTAACCCTGCTCAGCCTCCGATGAGCAGAAGAGCAGCTGCCTTCATTTCAAAGGCTAGGTGGGAGAGGGGTTAGTACCTGAGAGAAGCGAAATAGGAAAAAGCTAAGGCCAGTCACAGACAATTTCATTTGGTACAAATGGCTACATATCTCATTGTCTAGATCCAATGCTGTTTACTACAATTTTAATTTTCCAGCACCCTGGGAGAGCTGAGATTTCCTGGCATCACATGTGCCAGTGCGAAATGAGATTTTTCTTTCCTCCATCGAGACATCTGGACTACAAAATGAGCTGCTTGCATATTTGCGACAAGAGGGAGATTTTTTTTTTTCTGATCATAAAACGAACCATGAGACAACAGAAGAATTTCACGGTGTGCGGGTGCCTAACGGTGTATGTGATCTCAAAGATTATTAGTCTCAGCTTGGTACTGCCACTGTTCCTCTACCCAGAGGTTCAGCTAATAAAACACAACTGCCCAGGAAAATCATTGTGAGGAAGCACCAGAACATCCTGCATCTGCAGCAGCTTCCCGGCCTGAAAGGCTTCGACCTGGCAGAGTCTTCCCGCCCACACCTGCTCGACCTGAGCTCCCTCCTCAGCACCATTTCCCAAGCAGCCCCTGTGCCAGAAGCCCAGGGGTCACCCCCGACTTCTTCATCACCTTTACCTCCTGGCACCCACCCTGTCTTGTCTATCCCACCTGTCTTCTACTCCCAGGTATATACCCAAGAAAAATGAAAACATGCGTCCAAATAAAAATTTGTACACAAATGTTTGTACATAGAAGCATCATGCATGATAGCCCCAAGTAGAAATAACCAAATGTGTACCAACTGATGAATGGATAAACAAAATACGGTACATCCATACAACAGAATATTCAGCAATAAAAAGAATTGGGGTATTGACACATGCTACAACATGAATGAACCTTGAAAACATGCTAAGTGAAAGACGCCAGTCACAAAGGACCATCTAGTATATAAGGTAATTTGCATGAAATGTCTAGAAGAGGCAAATCCACAGAGATGAAACTACACTCGTGTTTAGGGGCTAAGCAAAGGTCTGAAAAAGGGGATGGCTGCACAGGGTACAGGGTTTATCTCTGGGGTAATCAAATTCTTCTGAAATTGACAGTGGTAATGGTTATATAATTCTGTGAATACACTAAAAACCACCCAATTGTACACTTGTTACTATGGTTGACTGTGTCACCTAAAGTTCACATGTTGGAAACTTAAACCCAATGCAACAGTGTTGAGATGGGACCTTTAAGATGTCATAGGTCATGAGGGCAGAATGGGTTGTTACTATGTGCAGGAGTGGGAACTGATACTCATAACAGGATGAGTTCAGCCCCTTCCTTTCTGTCTCTTGCCCTCCTGCCTTCTGCTGTAGGATGACATAGTAAGAAGGCCCTCGACAAAGGCAGGCCCCTGACCCTGGGCTTGCTAGCCTCTAGAACTGAAGAAATAAATCTCTGTTCTTTAAAAATTATCCAGTCTCAGGTATTCTGTTAAAACAGCACAAAACAGGCTAAGAAACTAGAATATTTAAACTACAACTGAATCACACTGCTGTCTTTTTAAAAGTCCATCTGTCCCCTTTCTGTCATTCCAGCTACTGGCACCACGCAGCTCTCCAAACCGGCCTCACTCACTCACCTGTCACGAGGACATCACAGGCGGTTCCGTCTCCTAGGAATACACATCTCCCTGCTCTTCAAGTCCTTCAGAGCCAGCTTAAATAAGACTAGGCTGGGCCCCCCACGCTGGGAACGCAGAGCACCAGTGGCACTCTGCAGCGTGCTAATGGCCTCTAGGCAGGGATGCCCCGACAGCTTGTCCTCACACTGCACTGCAGTGTCGAGCCCTAAGCCTGTACATGCTCAAAATATGCTGGCTGAATGAAGGAGAAAAAGACCCTCCTTCCTAAATAAACTGCTTGAATCACTCTCTAAAATACAACAAAAATCACATACACCGGAAGCAGCTCATACCACACGACTCCAGACTCACGGGAGTTCACGCCTGCCCAGTGTTACCTTTCTGCTGCCAGGTGGAGCTGGGTCGAAGATTCGGGTCTGCATCTCACTGGGAAGAGCAGAGTACACCGGGAGGATGATTAACTCTGGAACATCAGGTCCCAGCGACTTCATCCTTTCATACAGGATCTCACAAGCAGTATCGATCTCTTCCTGACCAGTCAGGAAGACCAGGATGTCACCTATGGGGAGAGGAGAGTATTAAGATTTATTAATTGAAAGGCAGAGTTGGGGGGAGGAAGGGAGGGAGAGGCAGAGAGAGCAGTCTTCCATCTACTGATTCTCTCCACAAATGGCTGCAACAGCCAGAGCAGGGCCAGCCCAAAGCCAGGAGTTTCTTCCAGGTCTCCCACATGGGTGTAGGGGCCCAACCACTTCCATCTTCAGCTGCTTTCCCAGGCGCGTTATCAGGGAGTTGGACTGGAAGTGGAGCAACTGAGACTCGAACCGGCACTGAAGTGGGATGCTGCTGCTGCAGTGGCAGCCTAACCCGCTGCGCCACACACTGACCCATTGATTTACTCTCTAACTTTTTATTTTCTACAAAAGCTACGGCAACATGAATAGATCTCCATGGAACAGAAAACATTCATATTCTGACTGCTAAATAAACGAAGAAGTTATCATCTATCCATGTTTAAACAGGAACATTTAAAACCTGTACACCATTATTTATATTTCCACCACCACCATCTTAAACATGCAATCCTGAGACAGAGGGGCCGCTCATTCAAAGGCATTTTTGGAAAGATAAGCAAAAAAAGATACGCATATTAGGATCTGGAGCCTAAGAGAGAAGTGCGCTCTTGCCCTCACCTGGCGGCTCTGTCAGGTGGATCTGCATGACGGTGATCAGGCTGGCATCCAGGTAATCTGTCTCGGGCTCCTTCGTGTACAGTATCTCCACTGGGTAGGTCCGCCCTGGGATGGTGAAGATGGGTGCTTCATAGAAGTACTGCGAGAACTTCACTGCATCCAAGGTGGCTGAGGTGACAATGAGTTTCATGTCTTGCCGTTTCTGAACGGTCTAAAGGGAAATGCAACGTGACTTACTAACGTGGCGTACTGTGTCCCCCAGAGGACATAGGTACTCCAGTCCAATTTCCGGAACGCAGGCTCCAACAGGCAGAAGGATCACTAGACTGTCTGGTTACCTTTTTCAACAATCCGAAGAGCACGTCAGTGTGAATCGTCCTCTCGTGCGCCTCGTCCAACATGATGATTGCATACTGGGTGAGGTCGGGGTCGATCAGGCACTCCCTGAGCAACATCCCGTCCGTCATGTACTTGATGACTGTTTCGGGGCTGGTGCAGTCCTCAAATCGAATGGTGTAGCCCACCTAAGGCAGAACAGAGTGGAAAACCTAAGACGCAAACTCTCCTTCGTGCAACTGCCAGAAGTGTCAGCCCACTCACACTACTGTTCACAATCTTAACAGATAAGAATCTGAGCAATCTTCCATAGATAGTCAATTAAAAACAAATCTTAATGAAAAATGGAATGGGGGGAAAAACACTATATTCCTAAAAGCTGTACATATGAAATTTGTATCCATTAAATAAAAACCTTCTAAAAAAAAAAAGAATCTGACCAAGATGTACAGTGATTTCCTCCAGTAAGATCAACCTCAGACGTGATGCCGAACAGATCAGTGAGGATGGCAAGAAACCTCGCTCCCTCAGGAGAATCTTGGAAAAGGGTAGTATCGCTCCCATTTTATACACAAGGTGATCTGGGCTGTTACACTTTCCTTCCTGCATTTCTAGAGTAGCGTAACTACCCACTTACCTCTTGGCCTAAGCAACAACCAAACTCCTCTGACACCCTTTTGGCCACGGACATGGCTGCCACCCTTCGGGGTTGGGTACACCCAATCTTGCCCCTGGACGTGTAGCCTGCCTCCGCCAGGTACTGGGTGATCTGCGTTGTCTTCCCAGATCCTGTCTCTCCAATAACAATCAGGATCTGATTGTCATGGACAGCCTGAGAGCAAAATATAAATATGGCCATTAAAATGTACCGCACATCACTCTGGAGTAAAATAATTAATGCTTACCTTCTAACACTAAGCGAAAAAAAGAGAACATATACAAATAGTTAAGGAATTCAACAGTAAATTTAAAAGACAAATAAAATGTATTTCCCATCACCACTCCCAAATTTCTAAAGCCTTTCCCCTAAAAGTTACCTTATTTCTACACTACCTGTAACAATAAAGGATTATAATCACCCTACATGTCTATTACTACAGGACTAGTTAAATAAGCTGGAGTATATCCACATGAACAAAGCTCTAAAGTCGTTTAAAAAAAAGGACTATCTCTGATACATCCTCAAAAGGAAAAATACAGAATAGTGTATTTAATGCACTGCCCAAAGCATAAACACACAGAGAGAAAACGTGTGTGAGTGGGCGTGGGCATGTATTTGTATCTGCTTAGGTACACACGTGGTATTGTTCCAAGATCACTGGAAACTAGTACATTCGGTCACTTTAAGGAAGGTTTGGTGGTCTTATAATCAGTACCTGAAATAACGCCCTTGCCTCTGTGAGTTCACTGGTCAAATATCCCGGTTTTTAATTATTGACCAGAGCAACAATACTCTGCCCACTTGGAACCGCTCTTGAATCCCCAATTCAAATAAATGTATTTCCTCGCAAGGACAAAGAAATGTGTACACTAATACGTGTGCTTACTAAAAGTACTTGGAAACATTTTCTCACCCCTTTTGGAAGGGCCACTTCAAACATGCACACACTTGTCCAGCTAACTTCAGCTGTAAAATAAAATGTCATCCCTCTTGCAGGAGACTCCCCGCCCCCGTACATCACAGGGCGGCCGCTCACCTGGACCAGCTGCTCCTTCAGCTTGTAGATGGGCAGGCTTTCCCTCTGCTCGAGGATTGACATCTGGGTCTTTTTCCCGTAAGAAGCTTTGTTGCCCCCAAAGGCGTGCTTCTTCCACTCGGGGATGTCGTTGGGCATCATCCCAATGCCCCTCATGTTGGCAGCAATCTGCCTGCCTTCCGCTGGGAGGGAAAACAGACGACTCAGTAGTGCCCTCGAGCTATGTCAAGTGTTATGTCAAGACGCACCAGGGAGAAATCAAAATGGCAGGTGGGTGTCTCAGATCCTGACCACTCACTCACTCCCTCACTCAGAGACACAAATGCACGTGAAGAATACAGAAGGCTAATAAGCGGTGGGAGAGGGGACGAGAACAGAGCAAGTGGTACCACATGTGGGACCTCTGCTGAGCTCTTAAAACTCAGCTGCATACCTGATGCCTCAACTAAGATGCTTCCAAGTACTTTAGACACAAGTCCAGAACTGCGTTCACAATCTTCCCTCACAGGTGCTCATGGGAGAAATCTAGACATCCTCTTTGACTGCTCCTATTCCCCTTTTCCCTGCATTCAACAAATCACATTTCTCAAGGACAACCCTCCTCTCGGCTACCTCCCTGTCCAAGGCATCGTCCTCTCTGAACTTTCCTGGAAGCCTCCTATGCTCCTGCCCATCCAAGTCAACCCGCAGCGCATCCTGAACAATCCTTTGGCAATGCAGCTGTGATTCCGCCACTCCCCTGCTCAGAACACTTTCATGCTTAACCCTTCTCAGCAGCTCCCAGGGCACAGAGAATGAATGCCATCTACGAAGTCCTGGCCTACCACGCCCACCTCATCCTCTGCCCCTGCCCCGTCCCGCTATGTACTCCAGCCACACAGGCCTCTTCCCTGCCCTGGCTCCAGCACAGGTTCCTCCTGTCCAATCCCCTGGACAGACCAAGTCTTATTTATCTTATCCTTCAGGTCCCAATTCCCCCAGGGAAGTGAGCTGTACTGCGTATACTCCTCCATTTAGCATGGATCACAACTTAATTAATTATTCGGTAATTATTGAGTATCCAGCTTCCCCACTAAGTTACAAGGCCCTTAACAGCAGGGGTCATGTCTTTAGTTCACAGCTCTAGTCCCACCAGTTTCCCAATAGAAGTTACTAAGTATCTGTTATGACTACATCTACTAATTAATATTTTACTGCACAAAGAATTACATGGAAGGGAACTTTCTAAGTTGTATTATCAAGAGAACAAATGTTTTAACTTATTCAGAAGAAAACCTCAGCCAGTCTAATGATTTGACCAGGGTTACTGAAGCATTTTTGGTTTTAAACATTTGTTTAAAAAACAGAACACACAAACATGCTCTAACTGAAAGAAAAACCAAGGCCAGATTTAGCAGTGTGCGCTCTCTGCGTCACCTCCCTTTGTACTCAGAGATTAAGGTTTTTTGAAAAGGTCCACACCCTGTTCCAAGGGTCCTACCATCAGGCAGAGGATCAACCCAGTGTTTGTTGAGTCCCATCGGGATAGAATCCATCTCAGCTTCCCGCTGGGCCTGCTTGAGTTCCCGCCTTTCTTTGGCCAAGGCACTCTGCATCATGGCTGCTTGGGAGAGGGAGCCATCTGGGTTCTGGTGTGCCAGAAGAAAAAGGAGTACACATTAAATGCCCAGCAAATAAAAGGGGGGATGTTAAGCTACTGCAATCTAAAACATGAGGTCACTCTAGAAGTAAAGTCGGTATTAAGACACCAGACCTCCCAGAAGAAATGGATAAATGGTGGCATACTCAGATACACTGAAAATCACTGAAGGAACTGGGATGTTTAGCTTGAAGATAAAAACTCCAAAAGAAATAAAAATGATGGGGGACCAGCGCTGTGGCATAGTGGATAAAGTCACCGCCTGCAGTGCCGGCATCCCATATGGCAGCTCTCTGTTATGGCCTGGGAAAACATTAGAAGATGGTCCAAGTCCTTGGGTCCCTGCACCTGTGTGGGAGACCTGAAGAAGCTCCTGGCTCCTGGCTTTGGATTAGCCGAGCTCCAGCTGTTGCAGCCATTTGGGGAGTGAACCAACAGATGAAGACATCCCTCTCTCTCTCTCTCTGCCTCTTTGTAACTCTGCCTTTCAAACAAATAAATCTTAAAAAAAAAAACAAACAAAAAAAGATGCTACCTTTAAATGTATGAAGGATATAAGAAAAGGATAAGAAGGAATTTGTGGTTTTTTAAAGATTTATTTCTTTGAAAGGTAGAGTTACAGGGAAAGAGAGAGATAGATCTTCCATTGCTAGTTCACTCCCCAAATGGCCACAATGGCCAGGGCTGGGCCAGGCCAAAGTCAGAAGGCAACAGCTTCATCCAAGTCTCCCACATGCATACAGGGGCCCAAGCACTTGGGTCATCTTCCACTGCTTTCCCAGGCCATAGCAGAGCACTGGATCAGAAACGGCACAGCCAGAACTCAAACTGGCACTCACAAGGGATGCCCATGTTGCAGGCAGTGGCTTAACCCACCATGCCACAAAGCAGGTCTCAGAATTCTTTTTTTTGCTTTTAAGATTTATTTATTTGAAAGGAAGAGTTGACAGAGGAAGAGACAGAGATTTTCTATCCATTGGTTCACTCCCCAAATATCTGCAATAGTCAGGGTTGGACCAGGCCAAAGCCAGGAGTCAGGAACTCTTTGAGTCTGTAATATGGGTGGTAGGGACCCAAGTACTTGGGCCACACACCCTGCCTCCCAGGCGCATTAGCAGGAAGCTGGATCAGAGGCACAGAGCATCTGGGACTCCAAACAGCCATTCGGATACAGGACGTGGGCACCCCAAGCAGCAGCTTAGCCTGCTGCACTATGATGCCCATCCCAGGACTTCTTTTGTACAACTCCAAGAACTAAAATTTAAGACCAGTGTGGATGCCTCAGTGAGACAGGTTTCATCTCAGTCTAAAGAGCCAATGATCAGATCCATCTAAAGATGGAACGTATCTCCTTGAGGGACTGGTGAACTCCCTGTCACCAATAATTTCAGGCAGTTGTGACATGACCATACAGGAAGATTACATAGGCAGATGTAAGAATTACATGAGTGGCTGGGCTGGGACACCTTTAAGATATTCTTTTTAAAACTTTGTAACTTCCACGGATTCTGGTTTGTATTTTCCTCACACCTCTGCCTTCAACAGCCAGGGCTATAGTTTTCCATGGCCATCAGTCCCTATTGGCCAAGAGAACCCTTCAAAAGTGCCTTTGAATCTGCAAGCTGATGATTCAAGCCGCAAGGAACCTGGACAAAGGCAATGATGACAGCTAGGAGAGCACTTCTATTCATCTCTACTTCCTCCCAAAACACAGTAGAGGGATGCAAGAAAACTAAATAAGAAAAAGCAACAAAGCCAAATCAACCTGCATTTAACACAAACATTCCAGTCCCTGGCTTACAGTCAACACTACCTCTGTGGTCTGTGTTCTGTTTACTCACCTCTAACAGGCTGAGCTGTTACTTTAAGAAAAGAAGTTCACAACATTTTCATGCCAAAATCCCAGCACTTCTCACCTTAACGATTTTAATGGGGCTCATGTCCATACTTTGCTTGGTGTGCCCTCTCAGGAATGGAGGTTCTTCCTCAACAAGTTCAATCTCAAGATCCTCATCTAAAAGCCCCCCAAAAAGAAGAATTAACCAAATACAAGAGAGAACAGATCAATCATTTTCACCAAAACAATTTCCACAGGCATCAATATATTATCAAAAATAGCCTCTGAGATCAAAGGGAGAACAATGCATATGAAACGCTCCCCCAGCTGACTATACCTCTGCAACCCAGCTCTCCCAAACGTTCCCAGGGCATTGTGCTTCAGCCCAAGAACTGATCAGAGGTACTCAGAAATTGATATGTAGAAACACTCGACAGTAATGAAAACAAATGAAATACAACTATCAGTAAAAACACAGATAAATATCAAGAGCAGGATAACAGGTTAAAAAATAAGCAGTAATGTTTAGGGACAGGTATGTAGATGGTAAAACTCTAAAGAATAAAGTGAGGAAATGACTGATGTAAAACTTAGCGTGACTGCCCCAGGAAGAAGGAGAAAATCTAACTGGAAGGGGGCATGCAGAAGCTTCAGAGGTATTGGGAAGTTCCACTTCTTAAACTAGCTGGTGGGTACGCAAGTCCTCACTTATTGTTATACAAATTATAAATGCTCTATTACAGCATTTATTTCATAACAAAGTTACTTCCAGGGCAACTCAGAGGACATCTTGATGGATCCACGGTTTCCAAAATAATATCTAAGAATATGAGATCACATTTACTCCCCACAACACAACTGTAACTCTGTATCCTGAAAACTTATTATAAGAGACAAGTACAATACACAAATGCTTGTCAGAAGCATGAACTCCTTGCTTCCATTAGGAGGTCCTTGTTCTTTGAGAGGTCAGTGTTGAAACCCAAGAACGATTAACAGACACTATGTTAAACCACAAACAGCCCAATGTAATGGCTCAACTGGTCAGCTCTCCTCCCAACCCATTATCCTGCTGCATCCACGTGGCTGCCTACCTTCTTCGTCATCCACCTTAGGGAGAATGCCAGTCTCTTCATCGAAGTCGGGGAACTCTTCTTTGGAAAGTACATTGGCAGCAATCATCTAGTCAAAGGACAGACGGGCACTGATAGCATGCCAGGACGAAAGCTCTTCTTTTCTGGGAGTTATTAGAGCTCTCACGAAGGAAACCCAGGCTTTCCCTCCTCTCACCCAGGCGTCAGGGCCTCACACATCACATATCATATCCTGGTGGGGGTCGGGGGTGGGAGCCGTCTCACAACATGGCGCTAAAAAGCCTGGGCTCGAGGGCGTCATTGAGAGGAGGGGTCACGTCACTGTGTGCACTTCTTGTGATGGGAGATGGGACACTTCACAGGGATGAAATCCACCTCAAGGATGGGAACCAGGACGTGTGTGTCTGTGGCCCCACCACGTACACCACACTTGACACACTGTGGCTCCCGTGCTCACCGGAGGACAGTGAACCAATAGCAAGCACTTACAGAGCAGCTACCCGGGGTCAAGCTCTGACCTGAGTCCCCGCTCTATCGCAGAGCCCCACAGCCCCCCCACCGGTCGTGTTTCACAGGCACGAGCACTGAGGCCCAGAGACTTAGAGTAAGTTGGCTCGGGATCACACAGCTAGAACACGACCAGAAATCAGCCCCTGCTCCATGCACTGCACTCCTAACCCACGCAACATGCTGACTGCCTGTGCAGCCAGGAAAGCCGACGGCCCCAACCTGCTTGATCTCCCACTTCTCTGGGTCAGAGATGCGGGTGAGGCGCTTGCGCTCCAGTGAGTCGTCCTCCACTTCGGGGGCACTGACAAGGGAAAGGTGGGTGGGTCTGTCTGGATTCCGCATCGAAGTCTCCTCGTTGGTTTCCCCAACTAGATTTCGCCGTCGATTTGGGTTTAGGTCTTCTCCAGTTTCTTGATCCACATCCTTAAGCACAAAAACAAAGGAGCTGGCTCACTAGCTGCCCTCCCATGTGCGCTTGGCCATGGATGTGGGAACAAGCAGCCATCTCACCCACCTTCATGCTCAGGCTGGTCTTGGTCCCAGTGAAGGACAGCACTTTGACCTTGACCCTCTGGCCTTTGCTCACCACATCAGCTACGTTGGCCACGCGGCCTTCACGTCGGAGCTCAGAGATGTGCACCAGGCCTTCCCACCGCTTCCTAAGGGAAAGTCAGATACATCTGGGGCATGAATAAAAACAGCTTTTCCCCAGCCAGTTCCTACTCTTACTGGAACTGAACAAAAGAAAACGGTCTTAAATTCAAAAGAGTACCAAGTAAGTAGTGAAACAATAAAATTATCACCACCGCACAAAGATACTGGCCAGGGGGAGCGGAGAAAACAAATTCTCAATCATTTCAACCAGCAAAGGACAGGTCTCCTGAAGGCAGACGAAGGAATGAATGGCTCAGTGGCATTTAAAAACAAAAGTCCATTTCTAAGAACCTGGTTTAGCTAATTTAGGTATGAATCATAATGACTCTGTAGAATGTAAGAACCCAGTGATAAAGAATTCCGTCCATCACTGGAGTGAAGCAAGAGCAGCAGCCATTACCTTAGTCCCTCCAGCTGCACAAAGCAGCCGAACTGCATGATGCTGGTCACTTTGCCATTGTAAATGTCCCCGATGGCGGGCTCTTCAGGGGGAGGGCGGTCCACATGCTTATCCCGCCACCTGTCCAGATTCCTCTCCCCATATTTGTCTCGATCCTTCCGGTCTTTCAGAGGACTTGGGCTTCTGCTCCTCGATCGGTATCTAGACTTCCCTTTATTCCTCTCCCGAGTCCTGGAACGTGATCGAGAGCGGGATCGGTGTCTCCGCTTGTGGTCTCGCTCTCGCTCTCGGTCACGGTCACGGTCACGGTCACGGTCACGATCCCGGCTCCGACTCCGCTTCTTCTTTTTTGTCCTGTCCCTAACAAAGCAATAAGCATCTGTCTGAAAAAGAAACCAGCCCAATTCCATCTGCACCCCCAAACACCCAGCACAGTGCCACAGACAGAACAGGTGCCGGCTCAGTGGTGAACTGCATCAACAGTTTCAACCACGGTGGCATCCCTGCAGGCCAATAAAGGGTCAGGCCACAGACACATTCAGCCTCTTTCAATCCTGATTTCTATTTCTGAACATCTTAGCACTTCCTGCATAAATGCTTTTGGCAGGGAGCAATGAAAATGAATCTAAGAACATGGTAGATGGCCAATCCAGACTCTCAAATTTGACAGTAATTTTGCTTGGTTGATCCACAAAATTCAACTACTATAGGACAGGCCAACAGGACAAACCGGTGCTCGGTGTCTCTCTGTTTCTCCTGACCCGCTGCACTGGGCATTAATGCTTCTAGTTCTTTCAGGACATCCACAGCAACTTTCACATCGTCTTCATCCAGCATGGTCTTCGGGGCAGAGGTCAGCAAAGTTGGGAGAAGAGGAGAAAGAAAAAAAACCACTCAAGACTCAGCATGTACTACGGGTCTGTCTACAGATCTGACAGCCTCTGTATCACCAACCACTTTTGCAAAGAGAACAAAGATAGACACGAATTTCTCAGAAAATAGAAGACAGGGAGATAGAAGACAGGGTAAAGTTCTTGAGAATCATTTCTACATCTAACAAATGTGACAAATCCCTGCTTGTCCTTAATACAATCCTATGAAAGGCAATTAGATATTAATCATCCCTCCTATGAAAGCACATAAGTGATGATTATAACTTAAAAAGCAAATCTGGGGGCTGCTGTTGTGGCACAGCAGGTAAAGCCGCTGCCTGCAACATGGACACTCCATATGGGTGCTGGTTTGAGTCCTGGCTGCTCCACCTCCAATCCAGCTCCCTGCTAACATGTCTGGGAAAGCAGTGGAAGATAGCCCAAGTCCTTGAGCCTCCTGCACCATCTGGGAGAACAGGATGAAGCTCCAGGCTCCTGTCCTGGCCATTGCGGTCATGTGTAGAGTGAACTAAAAGATGGAAGATCTCTCTCTACTTCTCTAACTGTGCCTTTCAAATAAAAATAAATCTCTGTGGCCACCGCCTGCAGTGCTGGCATCACATATGGGCGCCAGTTCAAGTCTCAGTTGCTCCACTTCCAATCCAGCTCTCTGCTGTGGCCTGGGAAAGCAGCGGAAGATGACCCAAGTCCTTGGGCCCCTGCACCTATGTGGGAGACCCAGAAGAAGCTCCTGGCTCCTGGCTTCGGATCGGCGCAACTCCAGCCGTTGCGGCCAATTGGGGAGTGAACCAGCAGATGGAAGACTTCTCTCTCTCTCTCTCTCTGCCTCTCCTTCTCTCTGTGTGTAACTCTTTCAAATAAATAAATAAATCTTTAAAAAAAAAACTCTTAAAAAAGCAACTCTCCCTCTGCATCTCCTTCCTCCTACTTTATTTTTTCCACAGCCCTGTTGCTGCCAGCTAAGTTATAGACTTGTTTCTATAGCTCCTGTCTCTTCCCACGCTAGACTGTTCACACACTTGTTTCCTGCTCCCATCCCAGCCCGAGATGCAGAAACACCTGTCTGATTTGTTCACCTCTGTATCCTTGGTCCTTACAACAGTGCTTGGGATACACTCAATAAACACCTACTAAAATGAAATTCAAAATACTTCGAAAATTGGACCATGCAATATGTAATGGAGCAAAAAATAAAATAAAATAAAATAAATTTCACACATCAGGCATCTGTTCTAGAACTTTAAGTTATTTCATACATATTTCATGTCCCTAATCACTGCTTTCTGTTCCCAATCTCTGTCCCTTGAGTATCATTCTCAGAACCCTTTAACACTATTCTACACATAGTGCACTCAGCAAGTGATTAAATACTATCCCTCTACAATGAGGGCAAACTTAAAATTAATAGAATTACTAATAGATACAGAATAGAGGGGACACACACACACACACACACACACAGTAGATATCATCAAAATGGTATCAATACCCGAACGGAAGGGTTGTCTGGCTGACAAAGGACTGGGAAGAGTTCCTTCAGCTTTTCTTTTTCAGTTTTGGGTTTAACAACTGGATCTTATTTCATTAAAGAACATGAAAGGGTGAAAGAAAAAATGAATTAATACTATTACTAGTTAACAACAGAACATTACCATCAGATTTGCATCAAATTGAAACAGAACATGGCATTCTGCTACACGTTAACCACACACATCACTATACCTGGAGTTCAGTTTCCTAAAAACATTGACTACAAACCCTCTGGGTGCGTAGCAGGGACGGAAGCCGCAGCACTCATTTGGCTGGGCCTTATAGTTTAAATTTTGTCTTAAATCACTTAAAAAACTACTAGAATATTTACTTGCTCAGCACCTGCTGAGAGGACAAGTACAACTGACAAGATGCTCAGGTCTACACACTCCGCAGGTGCAGCTCTGCTCACCTTTGCTAGTGGACGGCTTTGCTGGAGGCCGCATGGTTTGTATGAGACGCAGCAAATTACTAATAAGAGAATCCTTTGAAAAGAAACAGAACAAAAATTATCAGTGCCTTGATCAGTGTGTAAATACACTTAGGAAAGGGGAGACAAAAAAAAGCTTCAAAGAAAGGGAGGTTATGCATCTGAATTCAGGCGCTCGGATGTCAACCTGGTGCATCCCCAATCTGGCACAGTGCGCTTCAGGGAAAACTGGTATCGAGGACTCTTTCCGGGGTCAAGTTATTCAGTTCCCTCCAACCATGCTATCTCCCGTGGTTTAGAACTACCTCCAAAACCTTGACTCTTTTCCGACTTCCTGATTCACAGAACAGGAATGTAAACACACACACAGACTTAACGCTAGGAATCCCTCCGCAGTATCCCAGAAAGGTGCTGCAGGAAATCCTCACTTCGCCGCTGCCGAATGGCGTGAAAACATTACACATTTAATGGCTTATTTAAGTGTATGTGCATACTGTCTCCTTCCTGTACCCAAATCCTGTATTAAATCCTGCCAAAATTAAATTCAACAGTCACAGTAAAGTAAAATAGAAGTCTCCAAACATACATACTGTGAATTCTGCACCATTTTTGACCAAAGATGCCTTAAAAGTGTCAAAGGTGGTATTTTTCTCAGCAAGACTGATGACAAATTCAGCTGCAAATGAGAAAATGAATTAAAATAAGAAATGGAGGCTTGAGCAAGCAATCAGTTTCAAGTATACCGAAAATAAAAATAATTATGCTACCCAACTGTCACAGAAACCAAAGACCAGCACTCAGGTAAGGGTAAAGAAACTGGTATTATCCACGTGTGTTTCAGTGAACTTTTACAAATGAACTGAAAGTGTTACTACAAGATGGTTCAACCAGGCCGTGAGTTTATTTAAACTAGGCAAATCTATTTGCTGCAAATCACTGTATCTTTTTCTCTCAAAACTCCTAGCCAGGCATATCGCCACGCAGACTCAAGGTGACAATGTACATAAGCATGAGCCCACGCGTGCGTGTGTGCGCACACACACGCACACACACACACAGTTGTATACAACAGAACAGTCTACAGTTTCGGGAAGGACAGATCCAGCCTACATGTGAGAATCCGGCAGCTGCTGGCTGTCACCATCTCCAAGTGCAGGAAGGAGCTGCCTGCCCTCACAATGTTTCTCCACAAACCTGCCTAGTTTTTGAGATGTCTAATATTACAGCTACTTATTAACTAAGAGAGTTTCAGAAAACACACACATTTTCTCACCAACTGAGATAATCAGCCTCACAAGAAATTTATTGAATTTATTTGGATTCTAATCAAAAAACAAAAAACAAAACAAAAAACAAAAAGGGAAAAAGGAACACAGGCGATCTAGATAACTGGCTGACCAACCAGTACTCCAGTACCACCTCCAGGCTGGAATTCGCTTCATCCTTTTGATGATGTTAAGTGGAAGCCACACACCATCAGGCCACACGGACACAGCTCATGCATAACAACAAATTAATAACAACCTCAATGGTTAATACTTCTTGAACATCGCCACAGGCTGAGTACTCCGCTACATGCTTCCCATGGGTTGTCCTCATGTTCCTAACAACAGCCCTCCTAAGTAGGGGCCACTATTGTTCTGATCTACATCAAAGGCTGAGAGTTGGAGACACCAACCTACCCACTAATAACTGGGGGACCCAAGCCCAGATCCCAGGCAGCTGACTGGAGGTCCCACTTGCTTTGGGGAAACGTAGAAAGAGAACTAAGTCACATGGTATTAGGCATGCTATACTCAAAAAAGCTCATCCCACAATAATCAGCAGCGTATCTACACTGCAAGCCATCATCAGTTTTTTCATCTTTAAACTGATTTTTATTTATTTGAAAGAGAAAGAGACAAAGATCTTCTATCTGCTGATTCACTGCCCAAATGCCCGCAACAGCCAGGGCTGGACTAGGCCAAAGCCAGGGGCCAGGAACTCAACCTGGGTCTTCCACATGGGTGGCAGGGACTCAAGGACTTCAGGCATCACCTGCTGCCCACAGGGTGCCCATTTGCAGGAAGTGGCGTGGGACTCGAACCCAGCACTTGAATATGAGATGTGGGCACCCAAGCAGGGTCTTCACTGTTGCACCAAATGACCACGTTGGTTTTTTTAATGTTCGGAATTAAATAAGGACATCGTTAAGTTAATGCACTATCAAACACAGATGCTAAAGGGCCAGCGTTGTGGCACAGTGGTTAAGCCTCTGCCTGTCACGCAGGCATCCCACATGAGCGCTGGTTCCAGTCCAGGCTGCTCCATTTCCGATCCAGCTCCCTGCTAATGCGCCTGGGAGAGCAACAGAAGATGGCCCAAGTGCTTGGGCCCCTGCCAGCTATATGGAAGACCCAGGTGAAGCTCCTGGGTCCTGGCTACAGCCAGGCCCAGCCCCAGCAGTTGCAGCAATTTGGGGGAGTGAACCAATAGATGAAGGTGTCTCTCTCTCTGTCTCTGTCTCTCTCTCTTTGTCTCTCTCAGGCAAGAGAAATATGAACTAAAATATATGCTGGCAATATACTGGCTGCAGGGCACCTTCCTAAGTGCAATCTAGGAACCCTGCGAAAACCTCACCTCACATCAGAGAAGAAACCCACCTACCCTCCTCGACCCCTTCCTGTCACCCCCCCCCCCCCCCCCCCGGTCAGCCTCTTAGCGAATTCCCTCCTCTTTTTTTTAGAAAAAAAAACCGACGGGGCTCTGGGCCGGCTCTTAAATCTTCCCCAAGGCCAACCATTATCTCTGCCCTATGTCCTCCTCCTATGACAGGGCGGGGAATGTCCCAGCACCTATCAAAAGCAAGCAACCTGTGCCTCCATCCCGTCCATCGCCTCCAGGGCCCAAGACTTTCCGAGGAGCTCAGCGCGAGTCTCCAGATGCTGTCTGCACCGGACAGCGAACGACTGGTGCTTGCGAGGCAGCGTAACACTAACGATCGCTGACTGCTATCTCACAGCGTGGCGCTGAGACCGAGGAAGGCACGGAATTAGAGAGCTGGGCAGAACAGGCGGCACAGTGGGAGCACCCAACGACTGTCGGCAACCACCATCAATACCACGGTGGCCGCCGCCGCTGCTGTTAAAGCTGTTCAATTATTCGCAGCTGAAAAACAAAACAAAACACCAAGCGGAGCGGCTGGCCCTGGGCTTCCCCGACAGCTCTAACAGATCGGCTCGGAGGGCTCCCAGACTCACTCCCCGGGCCGAGGGCCACGTGAATTGGGGAGAAGCGGACTCGCACCCCACTCGGCCCACACTCGGCTCCTTCCGCTCCCCGGAACCCCAAGCCCTGGGGCCCCAGGGACCTGCCCGGCTCACCGAGATCCTTGTCGTTGATCCCTAAGTGGTTGTCCAACTCGGTGCACACCTTCGACACTAAAGACAGATATTCGAGTTTGGCGAGCTCTTCCGCGGGGCCTGGCTCCGGCCCGGTCAGGACCCCGGCCGTGGCCACGGCCACAGCCATGGCTACAGCTTCCCTCCAGCCTCCTCCTTCCTTCCGGCCGGCCTCGCTCCCGCTTTCACTTCCGGGTCGGCGCACGTCCCTTTTGTTTACGTCGAAAAGTTTAGGAACTTCCCTAGCCGCCAACTGGATGGATCATAGAGATCAGGCCGGAAGTACTTGAAGAAGGGAGGGCAAGAACGGGTTCCGTAGCGCGCGGACCAGAGCCCTCTAGTGGTGAGAAAGATCTTCGCCCCCTCAGGTCCGGAAACGCCCACTCCCGGCGCGCTACCTCCCTACGTCAGTAGAGGGCGACCGCGCTCTACGCGCAGGGAGTCCATCTTCTCAAGAGAACCAAGCGCGCCTCGAATGCGAGTGTATTGTAACTATTGTAACTGTCCTTTTTTTTTTTTTTTTTTGACAGGCAGAGTGGACAGTGAGAGAGACAGAGAGAAAGGTCTTCCTTTGCCGTTGGTTCACCCTCCAATGGCCGCCGCGGCCAGCGCTGTGCGGCCGGCGTACCGCGCTGATCCGATGGCAGGAGCCGGGTACTTACCCTGGTCTCCCATGAGGTGCAGGGCCCAAGGACTTGGGCCATCCCCCACTGCACTCCCGGGCCACAGCAGAGAGCTGGCCTGGAAGAGGGGCAACCGGGACAGAATCCGGCGCCCCGACCGGGGCTAGAACCCGGTGTGCCGGCGCCGCAAGGCAGAGGATTACCCTAGTGAGCCGCGGCGACGGCCTGTAACTGTCCTTTGAGCGCTACGTGTATGTTTAATATAATAGCAGATAACGTTAATTGCTCGTTATGATTGGTTAGCTTTACCGCCACACACACACAAAAAAATACTAAAACAGATAGCCTATACTGTCCCTACCCACACTTCCACCCGTGCTGGGTAAGAAATTATTTCCCATCACCATTCTAGTAGTAACCACGGTGTTGCTTTTATGCCTACTGCTAGATTGGTAGTGTGTGTTCAACCCAGTCGTCCATTCCCACAATATTTCCTTTTCTAAAAAAACTATTTATTTGAAAGGCAGAGTTATAGAGAGGGCAGAGGCAGAGAGAGAGAGAGAGAGAGAGTCTTCCATCTGCTGTTTCACTCTCCAGATGGCTGCAACGGCCCGAGCTGCGCTGATCCAAAGCCAGGAGCCAGGAGCTTCTTCTGGGTCTCCCACGCAGGTGCAGGGGCCCAAGCACTTGGGCCATCTTCCACTGCTTTCCCAGGCCATAGCAGAGAGCTGGATCCGAAGTAGCTGGGTCTCAAACCAGCGCCCATATGGGATGCAGGAATAGCAGGCGTCAGCTTTACCCGCTTCTCCACAGCGTCGCCCCCGCAGTGTTTCTACTCTGGCCCAGAGTCTGTTCCCAGATGCCGGCGTTTGGGTAAGAGCTGGGGGTTGGGAGGAGGTAGGCAGCAGGGAAGAGAGGACTGAACCTCTTTGCAACCCTAGATCAGGGGAGAGGATGGAAGTCATCTAAGGGCGTCCAAGGAGAGCTGGCGGGAAAAATCACCAGAACAAAGCAGTCTTGCTGCAACCGAGAGGGTCCTGGCCTTTCCCGCTAGGGTAAACCTGGGGTCTTAGGAGGGGCGCGTGGGCTCCTACAGGCGCAGTCAGAATAATTTGCTCCTAAGTGTGTGACTTTAGGAAACAGCTGCTGTCATTCATGCCAGGGGACTGCACTGGGCCTGGGAGCTGGTGAGAGTGGCCATGCCCCCTCACCCGAGGCCTCGCTGAGGATCAGGAGGGAGGAGAGCGGAAACCATCACAGAGGAACCAGGGGACTCATCTGAGGGCTTCGTGGCAAAGCCACAGCGCTGCTGCCCAAGCATGAGGGCAGCTGGGGGAGGGGCAGCCCAGGGCCAGGGACCCCGCAGGGCAGCCCAGCCTGCTCGAGCCATTACTTGTCTTCTAATGCCCTTATCTTCCAATGCCCAAGTGCAGCCTCAGTTTCGCACAAAATGTTCCTGACCTAGAATTCCTTCTCTTCTAGGCCATCAACCTGCCGCCAGTAATAGTGAATGCTTTAGGCTCCAGGTTTTCCAAGGCAAAAACGTCCCTCCTCAGCAGGCTTTTTCTTGTTAGAGTTCTCCTCTTTCGCTTAAAGGCTGCCTTTAAAATATCAGGCCACAGCAAAAACAGATTCAGGTACCCAGAGGCCACCTTGATGTGCACTTGTAAAGAAAACGTTCTCTCCCACACTTGCCTCCTCTCCTTCTATGGGAATGGCAAGGAATTTTCATTTATTTATGTATTTTTATTATGTATTTTTAAGAACATGTATTTATTATATAATAAATATTTAATAATATATTTATTATGTATTTTTAAGAATATTTCTTTACTTATTTGAAAGGCAGACTTACAGAGAGACAGAAAGAGGTCTTCATCCACTAGTTCACTCCCCACATGGCCGCAACAGGCAGGGCTGAGCCAGGATGAAACCAGGAGCCAGGACTCCCATCTGGGTCTCCTGCGTGGGCGGCAGCGGCTCAGGAACTTTTCCGTCATCTTCCACTGTTTTCTCAGGCGCTTTCGCAGGGAGTGGGTTCAGAAGCGGAGCAGGCATTACTTGAACTCGTACTCTGATAAGGGATACAGGTGTCGTGAGCCATGGCTTAATTCACTGCACCACGACGCCCACGCCTAGGTTGGTCTTCAAACAGAAAGAAATTTTGATCGCTATTTCAAGTAGAGTTGACAAAATAATAAGTGACATTGGGCTTTTTCTCTCTCTAATGGTATTTGGCCTTCACTTGTGTTTGTAGCCTCTGGTTTGTTTGAAGTCATCCTTTAGGAACTTTTAAGGCTTTCCTCTGAGAGATGCAGAAACCAAGCCAAACCAAGAAGTGAGTGCTCGGGAAGAGGGAAGAGAAAGGGGCTGAGGCTCTGTTGAGACTCTGTCTGCAAACCAAGCAGTCAACAGCTATTCAGCAAGCCCAGGGCCAAAAGTCCCTGCTACCCCATGCAGTTCTTGCCGCTAACACAGGAGCTGCACCCCTAGGTAAAGGAGAATGGGTTCCCAGCATGCCTTGAACCCCACATCCGAGCAGTCCCCGCAGAGCCCTCAAGTGCAGCTCCTTCCCCAGTGCCCCAGCTCCGAGCCCCAGGTAGGGCAGCTCTGGTGGTGGCAGTAGCCGCTGCCCTTGTGCCAGGAGAGCCGCGCTCCGTCCTGGGATTACAGTAATTATGGTGATTTATGCCTCCAGAGTGAGAATTAGCAATCTGGTGAGGTAACTAAAAATGAATGCATCTCCTCTCAGAGCTCGCTCCACCCAGCTGAGCCTCCAAATAAAGCCAGCATATGGGGCAATTAGGAGGCCAAACGCCTGCTCTCGAAACACAGCAGAAAGACAGAGTTCAGGGGCCCGGGTTCCCCTCCTGGTTCAGTGATGAGCACAAGTCCCTAACAAGCACCCTCTTTGCCTCACAATAGTGTGCAGAGTCTGAGCCCTCCCATAAACACAGCCTGTGGTTCAGCTTTCAAAGCAGTTGGTTCCAGGACATCACCACTTTACTGGTTTTATTGCAGAGTGGCTGATGGAGAGGATGGGGGAAGTGAGGATAAAACATCACATGGGCGTATGTGCGGCAAGGTTTTTTTGTTTTTTCTTTTCTTCTTAGTCATATATTTACTTTTACATGACCCAGAAGGACTCTGTCTTCCCGGACTCCCACAGCCGACTTGAAATGTTGATGTGAGTAGAATTTCTATAAGAGTATATGGAAGCCGGCGCCGTGGCTCAATAGGCTAATCCTCCACCTTGCGGCGCCGGCACACCGGGTTCTAGTCCCGGTTGGGGCGCCGGATTCTGTCCCGGTTGCCCCTCTTCCAGGCCAGCTCTCTGCTATGGCCAGGGAGTGCAGTGGAGGATGGCCCAAGTGCTTGGGCCCTGCACCCCATGGGAGACCAGGAAAAGCACCTGGATCCTGGCTCCTGCCATCGGATCAGCGCGGTGCGCCGGCTGCAGCGGCGGCCATTGGAGGGTGAACCAACGGCAAAGGAAGACCTTTCTCTCTCTGTCTCTCTCTCTCACTGTCCACTCTGCCTGTCGAAAGAGAATAATAGAAAGAGTATATGGAAGAGGGGCCGGCGCTGTGGTGTAGTGGGTTAACGCCCTGGCCTGAAGCACCAGCATCCCATATGGGTGCCGGTTCGAGACCCAGCTGCTCCGCTTCCTGTCCAGCTCTCTGCTATGGCCTGGGAAAGCAGTAGAAGATGGCCCAAGTCCTTGGGCCCCTGCACCAGTGTGGGAGACCCGGAAAAAGCTCCTGGCTCCTGGCTTCAGATTGGCACAGCTCCAGCCGTTGCAGCCAATTAGGGAGTGAACCATCGGATGGAAGACCTCTTTCTCTCTCTCTCTCTCTCTCTCTCCCTCTCTCTCTCTCTCTCCCTCTCTTCTCTCTTCTCTCTGTGTAACTCTGACTTTCAAATAAATAAATAAATCTTTTTTTAAAAAAAAGAGCATGTGGAAGATACAGTGGCCTGATATTATTGATCATCCTCACTCCAGGAGCGCATACAGAAATTCCCAAGGTAGTATCAGTCCACCCCCATGGACTGGGACCTAGACAGGTTTCTCGTGGCATACAGATTAATTCAGGTCACACTGTCAGTTATTTGGAAATTTGGATGTAGACACAATATTCATTCACCTGTATTTCTCATAGTTTTAGAGTTGAAATAAGAGATAATGGAATGAAATCCTTGCATCAGAGTCTATCATTATTTGAAATGGTTTCACTCCCAGATCTCAACATCTGAAGTTGTTCTCACTGAACTTTCTTTTCTTTTTCTCTACCATTGAGTCTCTTGGTGTGTCTACATCTCTCTACCCTCTCCTCTCCTCTCCAAACCATCAACACTCTTAATTTCACTTACATTTCCTACTGGTCTAGACCTCATTCTAAGCCACTTGGAATTTGCAAACAAATGCCAAGGAATTCTTCCCTCTGTGGTTTTCTCCTGTCCCTCCTGTACTCGCCACAAGCAGTTCCTAATGCCCTGTTCCCCCCTCCCAAGATCCTGCTGATGGAACTGGCACGGATTCACAATCAAACCTCACCTGAGCA